CTGCAAACCCTATTATCACCATTATAATACGCACGGTGAAATTTGCATAAATGGTGTTTTGTACTACGGAGGTTATTTTGAAGAATCTAATATTATAGTTTCCTTCGACTTTAGGTCTGAGAAATTTAGCTTTATTAACAGAAATGAAGGCACGTTATATGAGGAACATTGGACTTTGTTCAACTACAAAGGTAAATTAGGTGCATATGATTTTAGTCTAGGTAGACTAATGTTGTGGGTTCTAGAAGATGCTGGAAAACATAAATGGTCCAAAAGTGTATGCATACTGCCATCCATAGTCTCCAGGAACATGTTTGTTGGAATGACGGGTATCGGAGAGATTGTGTTTTCGCCATACATGTGCTATCTATCAGACCCTTTCTACATTTTCTTCTACAATATCGAGAGGAAGACTTATACAAGAGTCAATATTAAGGGATTTGAAGAGTTTAAGGATCATTTTACTTTCGTTCACACCTTAATAGACTTTGTAGAGGATATGAAGTTTATGTAAATGAGTTCAAGGCTTCATAACTTGAGACTTTATATTTTGGTTTTCAACTCTTATGATAAGTCCTATTCGTTAGTTATTTTGTGAGGTTATGTTTTTAATCCTGTTTTCTTTCTTGAGATTCGTTACTATCTTTGATTCTTGTCCGATAAATATTTTAGTACAATTTGTTGATGCAAAAACTTATCAAGAAATTTCCAATCTTCTTTCACGATTTTTCCATTGTCAAATAATGTGCAGCTTGTAACTTTGTTAATGTACTGATAATTGAGAAAAATGCACATTCAATGAGTAATCTCTTGCTGTCATATTTCGTTCTCCATCATCTATTTAGGACTCTAGGGTTTAACATCCATCCGTCATAAACAATAGGCTAGTCTCAGAGAATGATCACCTAACAATCTCCCAATGCAACACACCACATATCTCCCAACTCTCAACTCATCATCAATATACGTACTCTCGTCGTCATTATCGTTCAAGTCTATAGCTAAGTCTCAGATGTGTATCAAAGATCTACATGTCTTCCATTTTTCGCCGAGTTATTCCCCATATATGCATCAAGTCTCTGGCTTCACTGCGATTCTTATTCAAATTACAAGATAAAGACAAATATATTGTAGCCTCGTCCAATATTGAGTTTTTATGACAGTCTTTTTGATGCATTACTCCTAAATGTGTTACTACCAAGTACTGCTGAAAAAAGTTGTTTATAAATGAAAGCTTAGTTGCTTCCATTCTTCTTCTTCTTTTCTTTCCATTGCATTTTTATTTTTACTCTTTGTTCATCAACCATGTTTAGCGTGAAATGCAAAATAAACGTAACTAAATTTAAAATTCAATTTTGTTTAATCAAAGTATCAAACTGTTGGGACAAAAATCGATGAATAATAACAAAGACGCAAATGGACAAAAGTCGGTGATTAAGTGTTGGGCTTAAATTGACAGAGCCCCATTTATGATCGTTGCATATAAAGTCAGTTGAAAAAAAGAAAAGAAAAAAAAAGAATGTCGCCAAAATCGATGACGTTCGTGTAAAGATCTGAAACTGAAAGAGTGGTTCTAGGGTTTAAAATATCCGCCATGAAAAATCTGGAGAAGCAGTTCTCAGAGAATCTGTTGATCACACAATCTTCCAACTCGGTAAGAGATTACTCAAACCTAATCCCAGTTGATATTCTTATTGATATATTCTCTAGAGTTCCTGCAAAGTCTATAGCTAGGTTTCGTTGCGTATCGAAATCCTGGGAATCAATACTTCGCCGTCCTGATTTCACAGAGCTGTTCCTGAGTGTAGCTCGTCCACGATTCTTTTTCGCCTTCACAGTTAATAAAGAGTCATTTGTCTTCTCTGCGCCTCAACCTCAGAATCCATATGATAACTCCTCTCTATCTATTGTAGCCACCCCTTATAAGTATTTTCCCAAAGATTTTTCAATTGGAACCTTTAACATCAAGGCCACACTTCGTGGATTGGTCTTTCTTCAGTGGGGAAGAAAATCGCGGGTGATTTGTAACCCCGTCACGGGGGAGTCCATAACCTTACCCAAAGTGAAAGCGACTGGTGTTGGAGAAAGCTATTTTGGCTTTGATCCTATCAGCAAACAGTTTAAGGTGTTGTGTATGACATGGTCACGTTATGGAACACCCAATACTCATCGGATTTTGACATTGGAGACTGGAAAACGTTTATGGAGGACGATCCAAGACCCAGTATTACCCCATTATTCTATAGGTGATGGAATATGCATAAATGGTGTTTTGTATTACGAAGCTTCTTTTAAAGAATCTCGATCTTATGAGATAGTTTGCTTCGACTTTAAGATTGAGAAATTCAGCTTTATTAAATTAGATAAAGATATGGGACGTGGTGATAGGTTAATTTTGTTCAACTACAAAGGTAAATTAGGTGCACGACAGGATTACGGTTTCTGGCATAAAAGTATTGCGTTGTGGGTTATAGAAGATGCTGGAAAACATAAATGGTCCAAACGAATATGCGTGCTGCCACCTTTGTTGGACAATATAGTCAACTGGAACATGATGGTTGGAATGACTGTCACTGGTGAGATTGTGTTTTCGCCGTATACGGGCGATCTATCAAATCCTATCTGCATTTTCTACTACAATATCGAGAGGAACACTGTTACGAAATTGAATATTCAGGGATTTGAAGAGTTTGAGGGTCATTGTACTTTTGTTCACACCTTTCTGGACTATGTAGAATTTGATGGTTATGTAATTGGTGATGAGTTCAAGGCTTCGTAACTTGAGACTTTATGTTTTGGATTTCAGCTCTTTATGATATAGTTCCTCGTAAGACTGTTTGGATTTTATCTTAAAAGCAGAGCTAATTTAATCCTATGTTGCACTTGCAAGAAGTTCTTATATCTATTGGCTTTGTTTTAGAAGATTTTAACTCTTCTTTCAAAGCTTTGTCTAGTTGCCTCTTTCAATTTATCAAATATCGGTGATTAAGTATTGGGCCTAAAATTATAGAAAAGAAAAGAAAAAAGTTGGGAGAAAAATCGCTGAATAAAAACGCAATAATCAGAGCCAACAAAACATGCAAATGGACAAAAGTCGGTGATTAAGAGCAAGACTTATACAGAGTCAATATTAAGGGATTTGAAAAGTTTAAGCGTCAATTTACTTTCGTTCACACCTTTATAGACTTTGTAGAGGATATGAAGTTTGCAAGAAGTTCTTATTTCTATGGTCTTTTATCTTATAAGATTTCAAATCTTGTTTCAAAGCTTTGTCTAGTTACCTCTTTCAATTGGTCAGTGTCTATATTGTAATTAGAGTCTTATTCGTTCAGTGACTTTGTTAGGTTATGTTTTCAGTCTTTTTTCCTTGAGATTTCACTCACTATCTTTGATTCTTGTCTGATGATGATATATTTCTTTTATCTTAAGTACAGTTTTTAATTTGTTGATGTAAAATTTTATCAAATAAAACAAAGTAAAGAAGAAAACTTTTATTTAGTTTCAACATTGTTAATTTCGATTTACATGTAAATGTACATTATTTTAATAAAATCGCTATACAATAAGACTGTTTTAATTGGTTTTGGAACGTCTGTGTTACAAGTTTTCTCTTTACTTTTCTGAATTGGGTTTTACTTCCTTTTTTTCTATCGACTTAAGTAGGGTTTCAAGTCTTGGCTATAAATAAAGTTGAAATCGAAGAAGAGTAATAGAGCCAAAGTCGTTTTCCTTTGTCTATAGCCAAACAAATCTAGGGTTTAAACGTAGCCAAAACGACATGAAAAAACTTAAGCAGAACGTCACGGAGGATCACCGATCCAATACACAATATTCAACCTCAGGAAGAGAATTCTCAGACTCGATCCCAATCGATCTCCTTATCGATATATTCTTGAGAGTCCCACCAAAGTCTATAGCTAGGTTTCGTTGCGTATCAAAGTTCTGGTCTTCCATACTTTGTTGTCCAGATTTCACTGAGCAGTTCCTGACTAAGTCTTGGACTCGTCCAAGGCTCTTGTTTACCTTCCAAGATCATGGAAATTTGTTCTTCTACTCTTCCCCTCAGCCTCAAAATCCAGATGATAACTCGTCTCATATTGTTGCCGACTATCTAGCCTATTTCCCCATAAAGGCTCGAGTTTGCCGTCCTGCCAATGGATTGATCTGTCATCAAGATACGAAGTGGACAGAGTCAGTTACAACAGTTTGTAATCTCAGCATGGGTGAGTTTGTTACCTTACCGAAAGTGAAAATAGATAGAACCGAGTCGAGAAGCTATTTTGGGTATGATCCGGTCAAAAAACAGTTCAAGGTTTTGTGTATGACTTGGTGTCTTTGTGGAATATATAACATATCGCCGAGTGTTCTTACATTAGGGAATGGAAAACAACTATGGAGGAAGACTGAGTTTTGCAGAGGTCATTATCCTTTATTTGATGGGATATGTATTAACGGTGTTTTGTATTATCCAGCCGCGAAGGTCCGTGGTATTAGGGTTTCTATGATAGTTTGTTTTGATGTTAGGTCTGAGAAATTCAGCTTCGTTAACATCACACATGACATGGTGATAAAACGTGATTCGATTCTGATTAATTACAACGGTAAATTGGGTGTACTTGAGGCTCAAAATGATCAGGGTGATCATCATCCTTTATATAATTACAACTATGAAGGAATAAATAGAAAAACTAGAGCAATACTGATGTGGATTCTTGAGGATGCTAATAAACATAAATGGTCGAAGCGTATCTACGAATTCCCCAGTGGATGGTGGGAGCCTGATGACCCTGATCTACGTTTTGTTGGACTAACTAGAACAGGCGAAATCGTGTTGTCCCCGTACTTTCTTTTCAACCCTTTTTACGTTTTCTATTATAATCCCGAGAGGAAAACTATCCGTAGAGTTGAAATACGAGGATTTGAAGCATCTGAGCATCCTCTAGTTCACGTCTTTATAGATTATGTAGAGAATGTGACACCTATGAAAGCGCGTAGAACTTCATAAAGTCGAAACTTTCTTGTTCTGTTCCTTTATATAAAACATTACTTTTCATATAGTGTTATTTTGCCATTGCAAGAATTAGATTTCAAACTATATCAACATCGTAATCATCATCTCTTATAAGAAAACAACTAATGTAGATTTGAATCAAATCAAACTATACATGGAATGTTTATGTCACACTTCTCATATACCAAGACGAATAAAAATCTCGAGATCTCTCTCTTGAATGGGTTCAAGATTACCTATTTATTCAAACATTGTTGTTGTTGGTCCCGCTTGAACCAATAACAGAAACTACACCTTTCTTCTCTCTACTCAAAAACTTCTTAAGCGATCTGAACCTTGTGAACATCGGTGACTTAGGTTCTTCTTCGTCGATTCTCTCGGGTAAATTCTCACTTGAATTCGCCGGAATGTCCATCACAACCGCCGTCACTTCTTGTGCTCTGTTATAGGTATTGTTACTACTAGATTCTTGTTGATGATCTGCAAAATTTCCAGTAGATTCTTCAGTAACAACGAGGCCTGCACTTCTAACTTGATTCTGATCTCCCCAAACCAGTACATTTGTCGGGAAACTCAAAGGTTCTGTCGAAAACCCAAGAACAGGGCTCTGATCTTGAGATGGATTATGTTGATTACTCGAATGCCCTGATTCAAAGTTTTGATTTTGAGGTAAACCCTCACTTCCTCCATGTATCGTCTCTTCCACGGAACCAACGGTGTTTCTACAGAGAGGACAAGTGGAATGAGATTGAAACCACATATCGATACAATCGACATGAAACCCATGATTACACCTTGGCAAAACCCTAGCTTTGTCGCCATCAACGAGTTCAGAGAGACAAACGGCGCATTCTAACCCGTCTTTGAAGTCCGTAGACTTGAAAACAACAACATGGATCGATTGAAGAATTTTAGAATCAAGACCAGAGTTGTGAGGATGATCTTCTTGACCTTGAGCAAAGACGAAACGACGTTGTCGATGATTACGTCCAATGACTGTGGAACCAGGCTCGTCGGATGGGATAAGGTTTAGGTTGAAATGTTGTTCCACACGCCACCAAAAGAGTCTAGCGTAGAGATGAAGCAAGAGGAGGAACAGAATCCCTGTGAAAATCGATACGATTGCGAATAGAAGAACTTTTCCCATCGTCTCTTCTCCTTCGAATTTGCTGAAAACAGAACCATTAGAAGCAGCTTCTTCGTCCATGTCGATGACAAATGGTGGAAACCCTAATTAATGAATTTGGATCAAAATTAACGGGGAAAAAACTCAAGACTTTTTGCGTGGAAAGAAAGGAAAACGAAAGATTCACATCAATACAAAGATTGTGATGAAGAGTAGAAGAACTGATAAAAACCCGAAAAATCGAAGCTTTTTAAGCGAATGAGATGAGATAAAGAGAGGTTTTTGATGTTGAATTCTGGTTGGAGGTCCATTAGTTTTGAAGAATTTGTCTCTCGCACCAGAAGTCACGACAAAATATGTCAATTAGAATCAAGACTGGTTCAAGATTTTCTTTAAAGTTGGGACACAAGTTAGTGGAACACGCTTTTGAGTTTTTGACTTGGTTTTAGTCAACTTCTCCAAATCATGTTAGTCAACATCAGCTTTGATAAGAATGTTTTTACTAACCTGACACTAAACATATACAATGATAATATTTATTGGGCCTTAACAAAGCCCAGCTTATGGAGTGTGGTTGAAGCATAGGGTAAAGCCATATATAATTGAAAGAGTCGCTTGTGTTCAAAATCTAGGGTTTATTTATCTACAATGAGCAATCTGAAGCAGCAGAATAAACGATCTTACACTGATACAATCCCTGTTGATCTCTTCCTCAATATCTTGTCGAGATTGTCGTTGAAGGCTATAGCAAGGTGTCGTTGTGTATCGAAGCTCTGGTCATCCATAATTCGTCGTCCAAATTCCAACCTGTTGTTCCCGATCAAGTATTTTACTCCACCAAAGCTCCTTTTCACTTTCAACGATGGAGAAAACTTGTTCTTCTACTCTTCACCTCAAAATCTTTTCTTGTAGCCACCCTTCATCATAGGACTTGTGGCAAAAATTTAAAGAAATTATGTCGCCCTGTTTGCGGACTGGTCTGTGGTCAATATCTTCAAAGTAACCATATTGGGAACTATACATGGGTGGTGATTTCTAATCCCATTACCGGAGAGTCTGTAACCGCACCCAAAGTGACAATAAAAAGGATTCCGTCAGAGCGGATAAAGGGAAGAGCAGAGTATTCTTTTGGGTATGATGCAATCGACCAACAGTTTAAGGTATTGCGTATCACCTGGTTTAGTCGCAGCCCAGAAAACTGGTATCCTAAGTATCATGTGCTGACATTAGGGACCATAAAGGATAATTTCTTATGGAGGGAGATCCAATGTTGCACACTTCATTACCCTCTTGGTGATAGTGGGATATGCATCAATGGTGCCTTGTTTTATCTAGCTATGATCAATAACGAAAAACATACCGTTGTTTGCTTTGATGTTAGGTATGAGAATTTCAGTTTTATTAACATTGAACAAGACTTGGCAAGAAAGTTTGAGAGACCTTTGATTCTGATGAACTACAATGGTAAATTAGGTGTTAGTGATTTTAATATTAAACGTAGTCTTTCTGAGTTGTGGGTTTTAGAGGATGCCGAGAAACATAAATGGTCGAAGCATATCTACGAAGTGCCCCTTGAATGGCTGATGAATGAAGCTGGTTTTGTACCCCCAGCTAGAATGATTAGTCATGGAGAAGTTATATCGTACCCACACTACGAACAAGAGTTTATCCACACTTTTCATTACAATCTCGAGAGGAAAATTATCACAAAAGGAAGACTTGATATTCCAGAATTTAAAGAGTTTTCCAATAGTAGAGTTTATACGTTTTCAAACTTTGTAGATGATCTGATGCTTATATAAGTGTTTACTTCTTCATGGAGAGTATGTAACAACACCCAAATTGACAACAGACGAGGTTCATCAGTTCAAGGTCATGCTTAATTATGACCTGGTTGCCTAGTGGCGGCTCACATGAGTATCAAGTTCTGACATTAGGGACTGGAAATCTTTCTTGGAGAAAGATACAATGTTGCACACTTCATTATCCTCATGAAGATGATGGAATATGCATCAACGGTATTTTGTATTACCAAGCAATCATTGACCAAAAACGTTTCATCGTTTGCTCTGATGTTAGGTCTGAGACTTTCAGTTTTATCAACATTGTATCTCTCACCAAGAAAGATTTCCAGAACCTTATGTAAGTGTTTACTTCTTCCAAACAGAACCTACATGATTTTTGTCTGTCTTTTATGTTTTTTTTTTTGTCTTGCATCTTTTGATGTACTCTTTGCTTTATTTGTTTGGTTATGAATTATGATTCTTATGTTGATTTCAGATGATATACTTCTTTAATAATGGAAAAGCTATGAAGAATTGTTTACTAAGCTGAAACTCTGACATACAATTGAGTTATAGATACAATTGGCACATCACAAACTGGAAATTGCTTCTCTCAAGCATATGACCAATAATATAAGCCAAAATTTTGAATCACTAACTGAAAATACGACTTTTCTCTGCTAAATCGCTACAACATTAGGCTGCTTCTGTGACTTCTACGAGCCTTCCACGAACCCACTTCTTCGTTACGTTTCCTGATTCCAAAGATACAGCCTTGTCGTCCATCCCGTGGTAACCATTCGGAAGAGGATGATTCTCAGCAAGACTGATAGCTCCATTAGACTCTGCTGGTGGATGGACTCTGGTTCCGTTTGGTTGCGAAACTATCCCGAGTTTGATATCTTCTCTATCTCCCTGGGATGTGTTGGATTCCTTGTCAGAAATAGACTGATTTGTAGTACCTTCTATGTTGAATGTCGGTAAATCGCTAGATCTCATGTTCAAGTGAAGACTCTCTCCGTTGATCGGGAATGTGTGTGTTCCGTTAATCTCTCCTTGTTGTTCTCGATCGTTTGTATCTTTGGTTTCGGATTCACTGTCTACCTCCAGAAGAGTATTATTATGCTGAGGTGAGAGAAGAGATGGGTAAGTCCCATCTTCATCTGAAGCTATCTGCCTCATCTCTAGAGATTCAATCAGTTGTGTTGCTTCTGCTATGAGCTTTTTACTCTCTAACAAAGATGCTTGAGCAACCGGGCTTTTCAAAGCAGCAATCTCAAGGACTTTCGCAGCTTTCTCAGCTTCCGAGATCAAAAGCCTGAGAAAGAAAAGGTTAACTGTTGTTAACTTCTGCACACAATTCCAAACAGAGAAATATTAACAATTCTGTTTTAAGTGGACTGACCTTGCTCGTTCCACAGCATCCATCTTCTTCGATTCTTCCGCCACTCGTTTTGCTCTGATGCTTTTTATCATTTCCAGTTTTGAACTTGCCAAAGGATCTTTATACACAGGTGTTTTGCGCTTCCGTACTTTCACTACTTGAACTTGGCTTTGCCGTTCAAACTCTGTATCCCTTGTACTTTTCTTTGTAGGATTCTTCTTTCTAGGTTCAGCATCGCTCCTTGGTCTTCTACGACGCCTCTCGACACCAACAGGTATACCGTGATATTTTGCCAAGCCGGAGCAAACCCTTTCACGGTAAGACTGATAAGAGAAAGCAAGCTGAGTTAAATATGGTCAAGAGCAAAACATCAAACAAGTTGATTTGATCAAATGACTAGACAACTTACTGGATCAGCCCATTTAGCAGCTATTGCTTCTGCAATTCTCCTTCTTTGTTCAGGAGATTTTGGCGCTCTTCTGTTACTTTTAGCTCCTTTAGCGGCTTTCCTCTGCTCAACACTTTCCAGCCATTCCAGTTGATTCTGTTGATCCAAAATGTTGTAAGAATCCCACTGAAGCTCTTCTTCGTCTGTATATCCTTCTTTAGCAGCCTCCGCTAACAAGTTTTGCCACTCGAAATGACACGTCTCCTGCACTTTTCTCCTCTCCTTCCGCCTTGCCCATCGCATCCGCACTCCCTCCCCAATTTTCATCCGTGTCTCCTTGCTGTAAAAATCATGCAAATTTGGGAAAATAGTATTATGATAACAAAAGCATAACAAAAACGAGAAGGTCCAACAAGTTTAAAAGCAAAAGAAAAACCGGTACTGACTTTTGTGCGTGCCCAAGATTCGCTAATTTCAGCTTGATCTGCGCAGGACAAAGACACAAAGTTTCTATTAGGGGTAGAAAATTCTGTGCATAGAGCAAACATAAACGCCCTAACATAACATAAGGTTACCTGCAACTGCTTTCTTAAAGGGTACATCTACCTCAAACTAATACCAGTATAAGAATCTGTTTGACAAAGGAACATTTTCTTGTGTGTACTACCAATTAATACCAGTACAAGTTCCACTAGAGTTACTACTGGCAACTCCTCTAAGAAGACATATAGAACCATTCTTACATGACATCACCTTTGGGTCTTGCATTGCAATCTTTGTCCTTTCTCTAATCTTCTGTAGGGTCTCTGTATAAACGCAAAAGAAAAAAGATTATGAAAAAGTTTCCAATTGGAAGCAACTGAAGATAGATTTCTGAAGATATGCCGACGCAAAAACTACCTACCCGGACTATGTTTCCTGCCTTTGTTCCAAGGAGTGTTCCCTCTGTTTGCCTTAGAAATCCTCATCCTTCTCAACTTTTCTCTGTCATCCACTTGTTCTTCGCCATCATCACCACTTCCATTAGAAGATTTTGAAGAAGCAGAAGACAAAGAAGAGCTCTGTTCGTTTTCTTTCTGAGCCGGATACTTCGTTTCAAGAGTGGCCACTGCAGTAATAAGGACTTTGCCTCTTCGGACATGAAGATGACCTGTGTAAAATTTCAAATTCTTCGAGAAACAGGATTGTCTCCATGGATTAGGTAGAGTTTTAGCATGGATAATACTCTGAGCCCCCAATGGAACAAGATGAGCTTGCAAGGAAGGTTGGATAGTAGCAATATCTGCAAAATTAAACCAAAGAGCCATCTCCATTAGCTAAGAAACTGGGCAAAACATTCTCTAGAAACTATGCAAAGCACTAAACTTTTCTCATGTGCATAAAACAACTCAGTGACTATAATATGGTAGATTTTAAAAAGCTTAGCTTTGTTTAGACCAAGATTGCAAATGCAAAGAATTGTTAGTCAAGAATGATACCCAATAGACAAGAAGCAAAATTGAGAAGAAAGAGAGTCTCAAGACTGAAGTAGAATTCTAAACAGTAACCAAACACATACCCAGAAAATTAAGAGTAAAATCATCAGAGAGAGGATAAATGTTGGAAAAAATTGAAACTTTACCAGAAAAGGTACCTAAAGAAGGCATTGGGAGCTCATTCAGCCCAGGAAAACGAAAAAAAGAAGAAACTCGAAACACTCTTCTCTGCAACACCAACGAGAATGTCTTGTAAGATTAAGGTGGTTTATGTTTCTCTACTCGTCATAGAGAGGCGAGGGTTTTTGCAGGAATTTAAGACAGACAAGGATAAGCCACACAATATACAAACTTCAACGAAGATACTTGTGTCTGGTTTTGACGCAGCAACCAGGGAGGCGATGGATAACGAGACCCGGCTCGTTTTAATTACCCGACCCGTATCATAATATATTGGGCTAATGGGCCTTAACCTTTGTAAGGATATTAACACAGCGACGTATCATTTTGTAATGATGGTAATAAGTATACGCGAATCAGTAAAAGCCACGTGGTATGGGCCGCGTTTACAGCCCAATAATATACACGTGGGATTATTTTCTCTGGGCTCTCCAACAAGGCACACATAATGTGGCCCTTACTTTAGACCTTTGAAACTCAGAGAAATTGCTATTCTTTCTTCTCACGTAAACTGTTAAAACCTTAAGAATCTCAAATCTCCGATCAAAATCCGGCAGGGAAAATAAATAATGGTGAGAGATACTGCAGACGTTCCGCTTGACGAAGATGATATCGCTTTCCTCAAGACTTATGTAAGCGTCCCCTTTTAGAACCCTAAATTTTATTGGATTTTTTCGATTATTACCCTTCTGATTCACCAGAGAATTTTGAGTCCACCGTAGTTTTGTAGTTACTTTACCCTATTTGGGCGATTCCATAGTAATAAAGTTTCCTAGCTTTGGTCTTTTGCTGTGTTTGTCTCGTTGCGAACCAGTACTATGATGTTTTCTCCAGAGTGCTAATTACTATTTTGTAATCCTATATATTTAGTTCAGTTTTGTGCTTAGATAACTCAGCCTCACTGTTTGAATAAGTTGTCGAAGTGAAATAAAAACGTTCATTGTTATAATTGGTTTGATATGTTCTGTCTCCTTATGTTTTCTTGCGGACCTTCTTAAAATTTCATTCCTTTGCAGGGGATAGTGCCTTACTCTGTAGGTATCAAGAAAGTGGAGAAAGACATGAAGGAACTCGCCAAGAAGATCAACGATCTATGTCGTTTGTGAACACTTTTTGTTGCTCAAATATTAGGCTTACTTTGATTAGTGACAGATTAAAATGATTGATTGTTTCATATACGGGTAACTTTCAGGTATCAAGGAGTCTGATACTGGTTTAGCTCCTCGAAATCCGGCTAAAATGGTGAAATATATTGATGATAAGACGCTTGACGAAGATGATATCGCTCTCCTCGAGATTCATGTAAGCCGTCCCCTTTTAGAACCCAAATTTTATTGTATTAGTCTCATAGTCATACTTTGTTTGTATCTGTTCTCTCTGTATATGTTTTGTTGCTGACCTTCTTATATCTCATTCTCTGCAGAGGTTATGGCCTTACTCTGCACCTATCAAGAAAATGGAGAGAGAAATTAAGGATCTCGCCCAGAAGATCAACGATCTATGTTGTATGAGCACACTCTTTGTTGCTCTAAGTGTTGGGCTTTCTTTGATTACCTAGTGACTTCTGTTTACCGAATGACTAAAATGGTTATTGGTTTCTTATATGGAAACTTGCAGGTATCAAGGAGTCTAATACTGGTTTAGCTCCTCCCAGTCAATGAGATCTCGTATCCGATAAGCAAATGATGCAGTGAACAAAGTGGTTAAAGGTTATCAAAAGTTCAGTGCAACTCCCAACTCAAAAACACTCTTTATCCTTTGTGTGTCTCTCTACCTTCAATCTCTTTTGCAGAACTTTTATATATTTTTTTCCTTACAAAAGAATTTGGAAACATATTACAATAAAACAGAGGAATTTGGGAAACATATTATTACTGTTAAACATAATACAATGAGATAAAAGATGAGTTGCATGTATCAAGTATCAACACTAGACACAAGTACAATTTATCTTTCTTTAAAATGTGAACCGGGTCATTGAATTTGATTACCAATGACCCGACCCATATCACCTATTGGGCTACAAGGCCTTTAGATATCTTACATCAACGACGTCGTATTAATTATCTTTTAATGTGAATGAAGAAAAGCCACGTGGTGTGAGCCGGGTCGGGTCTTGGATAAAAGTCTCAAGTCTAGTTATATGGGTCGACGGTTCCGGGTTGATCTCCGGCAACGACTGCGTCACTTCATCAATGGTGAAAGATTCCTCGTCGGCGTCTTCTTCGTCGTCATTGTCATCTCCAGATGAAGAAAGCGATCTCCACAATCTGCTTGAGGAATCAGATTCTCAAATCGACCAATTTCGTGTCAGCGACGCGGCGGCAGAGCAAAGACCTACCTTCGCAGTGGAGAGTCTCCGATCACGTTTACGACGGAGTTTTAAGCTCAATCTCACTAAGAAACAGTCCATTGTTATCTTCCTTCCTATCGTCATCATCCTCATTTACTTATCTACTGATTTCAGCAACTACTTCTCCGTCAGAGTTCCTAATTCTGTGTTCCAGTCGAATACATTAACGGGTCGGGCTCCTGAATCGGATCTTCAAGCACTGTATCTTCTCAGGAAGCAAGAGAGCGATCTCTTCTCTATCTGGAACCATACTTTATCTAATTTATCAACAATCGAAGAGGTGAAATCTGCAGTTTTCCGGCAGATTTCGTTGAATAGACAGATCCAAAATGCATTACTCTCTCCGCATAAAACTGGAAATGTTGAAATTGGTGGATCATCAGATGGTTACTTCGCCGGCGGAAGTTGCCGGAGAGTGGATCAGAAGTTGAATGGGAGGAAGACGATTCAATGGAAGCCGAGACCGGATAAGTTTCTATTCGCCATTTGCTTGTCTGGTCAAATGAGTAATCACTTAATTTGCTTGGAGAAGCATATGTTCTTTGCAGCATTGCTGAAACGCGTTCTTGTGATCCCTAGTCATAGATTTGATTACCATTACAGTAGAATTATCGATATTGATCGAATCAATACTTGTTTGGGGAGGAATGTTGTGGTTTCTTTTGAGGAGTTTTGGAAGAAGGATAAGAATAGGAAGAAGCATCATCATGTTCACATTAATAGATTCATATGCTACTTCTCGAAACCGGAGCCTTGTTATGTTGATAAAGAGCATATTACAAAGTTGAAAGCTTTGGGAATTACCATTGGAGGGAAGCTAGACACGCCATGGGAAGAAGATATCGCGAGGCCAAGTAACAAGACAGCTGAGGAAGTGGAGACTAATTTTAGATCAGATGACGATGTTATTGCGATTGGGGATGTGTTCTATGCTAATGTTGAGAGAGAGTGGGTGATGCAGCCTGGTGGTCCTATTGCTCACAAGTGCAGGACTTTGATTGAACCAAACCGGCTAATTTTGCTGACTGCACAGAGATTTATCCAGACTTTCCTTGGCAAGAACTACATTGCTCTTCATTTCCGTAGGCATGGATTCTTGAAGTTCTGGTATGGTCTATTTTCTACTTTTTGATTGTTTTTAAGTTCTCTGGTAGTAGCCGTAGTATGGTAATTGAAAGTGAGAATTTTATGCTTGACTTTCACTCTTGGTAAAGAACTTTGTGCATAGCTAAAACTCTACAGTTGATGACAATGTAGGTATCTTAGTCTTGACCAAATTATAGCATATTAGGAATAATGATATGGTAACCATTTAGAAGTGTGGCTGTGCTTTTGTGAATGAATAATTGGAGTTCTACATCTACTTAGTTTAGGCGAATTCAATTGAGCAGGTTATCATTTATGAATATGGGCATTATGAGTTTATATCACTTGTACCAAGAATACTATTTTCTCAATAGCTTCTTTTCTTTGTGGTGTTTAAGATGGATTGTTTTTAATTTTCATAGTAGCTTTTGATGAAGCTCATTTCATTTCATTATGAAGATTAAATCAGGAACTTTAGCTAAGATATTTTCGTCTTGTGCCAGTAATGCCAAGAATCCAAGTTGCTTTTACCCCATTCCTCAAGCTGCTAACTGCATCACTCGTCTGATTGAGAAGGTCGAGGCACCGGTTATGTACCTTTCTACTGATGCAGCCGAAAGCGAAACTGGTCTGCTACAATCACTGTTGATCCTGAATGGAAAGACTGTCCCCCTTGTGAAGCGACCAGCTCGTGATTCAGCTGAGAAATGGGATGCATTGTTATACAGACATGGTCTCGAGGGCGACTCACAGGTGCGTTTTCTTTCCCCTTTTCATATTGGATGAATGATGATATGATACACATGTCAACTAAATCACACTTGGGATTTTCTTATTTTAAAAAAGGTGGAAGCAATGTTGGATAAGACGATATGCGCAATGTCAAGCGTGTTCATTGGTGCCTCGGGTTCCACTTTTACAGAGGATATCCTCAGACTCAGAAAAGATTGGGGAACCGCTTCAGAATGCGATGAGTATCTCTGCGCAAACGAGCAGCCTAATTTTGTAGCAGATCATGAATAAAAGAGTAACACGCAAACTAGTCTCTGTCTTGTGAGTTCTCATCATAAACAGCCTAATTTTCTTCTTCTTTTATGTGCATAGTTTACTAGTGTATATCATACAATAAAGCCATGCTACAGTTTCTTCTAATATAATCCCGAGATTACCAGCCATTGTTTCGAAAGTTTCTTCAGTCCCTTAAATTAAATACTAACAATTTGTTATGGCTTCTAATCTGTCACTATTATGCCAATTCTGATCCACAAATTTAAAAAGACAACTTTTGTTATTCCAAATTTTAAGTCGATTTCAAAGACCCTTATATATAAATCTTGTCCATATATGCCCAGAGACGCGCCGCCGCTTCTCTTCGTCTTTCCTCGTGAAATATTTTAGGCTTTGTCGGTCTCATCGCTATATTTGCCTTAAAGTTTCGATTTTTCCTTTGAATATACGAAAACCCACGTCGTTTAAAGCAGTACCCAGATGACAAATTGACATATCCTAACTAAAGATCGGAGTCGGAGCTTTTTTATAGTCAAGTGATCATGAGGGCGAGATTGGTGGTTTTCCCGATTAAAGGGAAGAAGTGGTGTTTCAGCAGATCTGTTGATCCTTTCGCTACTCAATCACCGTCTGGTGTTACTCCGACCACTGTACGAGGTTTATGGAAGAAAATATCATCTGAATCGAAACCCATCAATGCCAACGCAGAGCTTCTCGTCGATTTCATCTCTGACAAGGTAAAATTACATTGAAACTTTTTCTCTGTGTAATACATACCCGTGTGTTTATGTGGCGTCTAGTGAGATTTATTGGTATAGAAAATTCCGACCAATGAATAAGCTTTTGGTTTTGTTTCTGGTTAATGGTTTTTGACAACGAACCTCATTGAGGACCACTAGAAATGAGATAAAAGAAGGGCTTTTTTTTAATCAGTCTTCTTCCTTGATTTCTCCAATACTAAATTTGAAGAAATGGTGTTGTTGTTGTAATGGTTAGATGAATAAAGCTTGGGTGGGTCTTGAGAAATCGCCTGATGGATCAATAAAGAACAAGATTCATGGGTTTGTAAATTCTAAACCTTTTTGTATTCTGAAACATTTCTTGAGGCTTTGGTCTATGTTTGTTGATAGGCTTATTAATGTCAAGTTGTGGTTGGAATGTATAGGTTTGGATTGAAGCTTCTGGCTCGTGTTAAGCCATCTGAGATTTTCTTGAAGTCTATATCTAAGGAGGTCACTTCTGTACAAGTCACTTATCCTCCGAGGTTCTATTTACTCTCCTTTTCTTGAAATTCTGTAAACTTGAGGACCAATATTACTCTAATGAATGGTTTGATTATGTCTTCATGAGTATATATTCTGGTGAATTCGGATTGGTTACTGTTTTAGCTAATCCGTGTCAAATGTTTCAGTTTAGATCCTAGACTCGTACGCAGGAGACTACGGCACATTGCCATGAGGTAAATTACTTTGCTACCCGTTGTCTCAAATGATGAAACTTTATATCCAGTTTTCACGTGTAATAGATTCAGCATCCCTGTTCCTTATAACACGCATGTTTTTTAATTGGATTTGCAGTGGAACAATCTTGCACAAGAAGTACCTAGTTGGTTCAGTTACTTTGCTTCCATTGACCAGTGCATTTATGGTATGTATAACCTGAAGCTAGCCCGCGAGAACCTTAGCAACTAACTCGTGTATTTTCTTCGAGTCTCATAACCAACAAACCCTTTTCTTCAAATCCATTTAGGTTTTGCCATTACCAAACATACCATTCTTCTGGGTCTTATTCCGCACATATTCTCACTGGCGGGCTCTTCAGGTCCGTCATAACTTCTCCAGACATAATTCTCTGATCAGGAGGTTTTATATAAACTATATAAACCCGAAATCATCTCTATTGACATTTCAGGGAAGTGAGAAGCTGCTTAAGCTCATCTCAAACGAGTCAACTCATGATAAACCAGACGCAACTGATGATGCAGATGAAAGCAAGAACAACAAGAAGCCGGAACAAAAATCTCAATCTCCCACATGTGTAAGCTGATCTCTCTGTCATCAAAGAAACTCAATCAAAAAAGGTTTTTGGTTCTTATTTGTCTTTGTTTTCCCATGAAACAGATTTTGCTTCCATCAGAAGAGTTATATCAGCTAATTCGTGAAGCTAGCGAGGAAGGACTCGACGAGGCGACCATAGTAGAGATTTGCAAATCCTTTGATCTTAATAAGAATGATGTTCTTAAATATCGCAATCTAGTCTAACTCTTTTGGCATTTTAGGCTTCTTTTTTAGAACATAATTTTAGCTGTTTGAAGCTATAACTTACGCTCCAATTCTTTTTTTTGTCTTTTCATTCCTTGTTGCTTTAAAATTTTCTTTGTCACTTGGAAACAGTTGAATTTTTGGTACGTATATGTTTCAATTTCGTTTTGGTTATCCGAATTTAGAAGGGAAAAAAAAAAACCCAAATGGTTTAAAAACAAATTGCGGTTCAGTTCGGTTTGATTGGGGTTGCGAATTTTTTGCTCACCCCAGTTTGACTGCGTGGGATTTATTTGTTCTGACCTCTCCAACAAGACAGAAAATATGGGCCTCGGTTAATAAGCCCAGTTTACACGTGGGAGCGGCACGTGTGGTTCTTCGCCTATATTATTATTCGCTTCTGATACTAGACTAAACGGAAATTAGAGCTTCTTTTCCTCTCCAACAAGACACATAATCGTAATCTCAATTTCTCTCAAATCTCCGATTTCGAAATCCGGCGAAAATGGTGAGAGATATTGAAGATGAGATCAGAGACGAGAAGAATCCTCGTCCCCTTGACGAAGATGATATCGCTCTCCTCAAGACTTATGTAAGCCGTCCCCTTTTTAGAACCCTAAATTTTGATTGGGGTTTCAGATTTTTACTCCTCTGATTCATCGGAGAATTCGGATCCAGTGTAGATTTTAGTTACTAAGAGCTTTTTGGTTTCTCGAATGCGAGAGTTTCGTCTCTTTGCGAACCAATTTGATGTTTTCTCCTGAGTAGTTTCGAGCTAGATTCGTTCTTAGTTGCTCTTTGATGAGCTTGATTCTTCTACTTAGTTCAATTTTGTGCTGTTTACTACTTAGACGAGTGAATCTGCCTCACTATTTGAATTAGTCTAAGTGGAAACATTCATATAGTTCTTTGTTTGTATCTGATCTCTCTCCACATGTTTTGTTGCCGACCTTCTTAAATCTCATTATCTGTAGGGGTTAGGGCCTTACTCTGCACCTATCAAGAAAGTGGAGAAAGAAATTAAGGATCTCGCCAAGAAGATCAACGATCTATGTGGTATGTGCACACTCTCTGTTGCTCAAGTGTTGGGCGTACTTTGATTAGCTAGTGACTTCTGTCAACTGAATGACTTAAATGGTTATTGGTTGTTTATATTGAAACTTTCAGGTATCAAGGAGTCTGATACTGGTTTAGCTCCTCCCAGTCAATGGGATCTTGTATCTGATAAGCAAATGATGCAAGAGGAGCAACCTCTGCAGGTAAGCATTCTTTCTTAGATAGTTTATCTGAAACTTCTTCTTCTATGTTATGGTAACTATAAGAGATTAAGGGTAAACGTTTTCTCTGTCCAGGTTGCGAGATGCACAAAGATAATAAGTCCAAACACCGAAGATGCAAAATACGTCATTAATGTCAAACAAATTGCTAAGGTACATTATATCCCTAAGCTGCTGGTGCTGCATAATCAGTTTTGATGTTTGGTTATACTGATTTAGTTTTGGTTCCTTATTCCAGTTTGTTGTTGGACTTGGCGATAAAGTTTCTCCCACTGATATTGAAGAAGGCATGCGTGTGGGGTATGTTCTGTTTATGAACTGAGTTTTTATCTGCTTAATTATCAGTTCCCCATTGTATCTTTCTATGTTTTATTTGCTTCAGATCAACCCCTTTTGCCATTGTACATTTCTCATATGGATGATAACTTATGAGAACGTTCTGTCTCTGATTTATACTTGCAGAGTTGATCGGAATAAATATCAGATTCAGATTCCTCTACCTCCGAAAATCGATCCTAGCGTGACCATGATGACAGTCGAAGAGAAACCTGATGTAACTTACAATGATGTTGGTGGCTGTAAGGAGCAGATTGAGAAGATGCGAGAGGTATGTTGAACTTTTGTTGATATCCCCTGTCCTTATCTTGCAGTGTTTTACTTAAGTTAAACTGAGTGGTGTGATGTAATATTTTCAACAAATAAATTGTTAAAGTTTTGTCGTCTTTGCTGATGCAGGTTGTTGAACTGCCAATGCTTCATCCAGAGAAATTTGTGAAGCTTGGAATAGATCCTCCCAAGGGTGTTCTCTGCTATGGTCCTCCTGGTACTGGTAAAACCCTTCTGGCTAGAGCTGTGGCCAACAGAACCGATGCTTGCTTTATCAGGGTTATCGGCAGTGAGCTTGTTCAGAAGTATGTTGGTGAAGGAGCTAGGATGGTTCGTGAACTGTTTCAGGTAATTGATTGTAAAACTCCTTTTTGCTATCTTAGTTTGTGAAGCCAATCCTGCTATATTTTGTTCTGAAATGTATAATACTCTCTCTTTTCAGATGGCACGGTCCAAGAAAGCTTGCATTGTATTCTTTGATGAAGTTGATGCCATTGGTGGTGCAAGATTTGATGACGGTGTAGGTGGTGATAATGAAGTCCAACGTACTATGCTTGAGATTGTGAATCAGCTTGATGGGTTCGACGCACGTGGTAACATCAAGGTTCTTATGGCAACAAACAGGTCAGTAACAATCCCCTTACCATCTCTAAGTAAACTACACAACCCAATAATACCGCTTGACTCATTGGTGTTTCTGTATTCACTCTCCAATCCAGGCCTGACACACTAGACCCAGCTCTTTTACGTCCTGGACGTCTTGACCGTAAGGTTGAGTTTGGTCTTCCTGACCTGGAGAGCAGAACACAGATCTTCAAGATTCACACAAGAACCATGAACTGCGAAAGAGACATCCGTTTCGAACTCCTTGCTCGCCTCTGCCCAAACTCTACCGGTATTAATCCCTTAACCATCAAACAGCTTTTCTATCTCTTGAGATTTTTTTTCTGACTTGGGTGGTTTTGTTAATCTTGTCTTTTGCAGGAGCTGATATCAGAAGTGTATGCACTGAAGCTGGAATGTACGCAATCAGAGCTAGGAGAAAGACTGTGACTGAGAAAGACTTTCTGGACGCAGTGAACAAAGTCATTAAAGGTTACCAAAAGTTCAGTGCCACTCCCAAGTATATGGTCTACAATTAGAGAGAGAGAGAGATAGAAGAAGTCGTCCGAAACACTCCTAAATCAAAACTCCGAAACACTCTTTGTTCTTTGTCAGCGTCTCTCCCCTTCAATCTCTTTTGCAGTACTTGTTTTACTACTTATTCCAGTAACTCGATTGCTTTCTTCTTCAATGTCTGGTACTTTTGGATTCCATAAATTCTCTGTTAAGTTTGTTTTTTTGAAGTTAACAGTCCTTTGAAATTAATAACATGTTGATGATCAAGAATTGAACCAAGCCCAAATAGAACCAATGTAGAAGAAAACAAGAAAGAATTATGTTCATGTAGAGGATCTAGAAGCTACAACTTTGGAACATACAATTACAATAAAACAATGGGATTATACAATGCATGAGGTTGCTTTTTATCTTCCAATTTTCTTTCTGTTGTGTTTGTGACTTCCATCCGATGGAGCAAAGTGTTTGTCTTTTCTCTTGGGAGAGGAATTTACATGTAATCACTGGTCGTGTCGGCACTACCAGCACGTTGCGACGGATCAACTCCGACAGTTCTCTTGCTCATGTTAGCTCTCTGCACTAACACAACTAGAGCCTGCACAACTTCAGACATTGGTGGTCTAAACTCCGGCTCCGGCTGTCAAGAAACAAAACCCAAAATCAGTAACAGACTTTCTTGATTTTGATTTTGCAAGTTACTTGCAAGATTCTATTTGTAACCATTATTTTACCTGGACGCAGAGAGCGATAACATCTGCAAATCGAGAAAGAGATTTAACAGGATAAAGGCCTTTAAGAGCTGGATCAACCATTTTGGCTAAAGCATCAATGTCATGAAGTTGTGGTGTCGCCCATCGAACCAATGACTGCTCAGACCTTGACCTTGTGCTGCTCAAGTTATAACCAGTTGTAAGATTCAAATTCAGAAACACATTCCTCATCTAAATCAAGCTTAGCTTTGATCATAATAGAGTTTACCTGTCGAATGGTTTTCTCCCAGTTAAAAGTTCCAGCATCACTACTCCAAAACTGTAAACGTCGCTCTTCAAAGAATATTGGCCTGACATTGATACTTCAGGTGCGCTATACCCTTCATCGGTTTGGTTTAGTAACTGCACATATCAGAATGATCTAAGCAACCAAATAAGTTGAGATATAGTACAGAGTTTGGAGAAAAGTTTGTATATCCAACCTCATTAGCTGTGGGAAGGAAGCTTGCGAGACCTGAATCTGATAAGTGAGGATTCAGCTCTGAGTCGAGTAAAATATTGGCTGATTTGATATTCTTGTCAACTATAGATGGTGAACAAACTTCATGCAGATACCTGCAAGAACAATACTCACAGTTAACCAAAATACTCTTGTTTCTCTTTTAAATAAGCAATGAATTGCTTTTGGAATTTACTCCAATGCGCGTGCAGTCCCAAGAGCGATCTTGACCCGTGAATTCCACACCAATGCTTTACTTTCCTCTTCTGATAAGTGTAAGAAGTCATGTAATGATCCATTTTTGTGGAATTCATAGACCACGAGATGTTGTCCGTGCTCAGCACAGTAACCAACAAGCTTGGTCACATTTGGATGATTCAAATTGGCAATTTTCGATACCATTTCAATGAAATCATCGGTCATGCCATGTGGAAGAGCCGACGAATCAATTTTCTTCACAGCAAGAACCTAAAAGATAAGACGTTTTCCAAAAACATTATGACATAATTCAAGACAAATAGATTAGCATTACACAACAATAGTATAATATTTTACCTTTCCATCATCAAACTCAGCTCTGTATACTCGTCCAAAAGTCCCTTCTCCAAGAAGATTATCTACGCTGAAACTGCCAGTAGCAATTTGGAGATCTGCAACTGAATAGAGTCTCACATTTGAAGGAACCACCACTGTGGATTTCTTGACAGTACTAGGCTTTCTCGTCGAATCTTCATCATCAAATGATTTGTTTCTATCAACTGGTGGAGGCCGAAGATTAATAGACAATGAAGTATCCAGTTTCTTTGTCTCAACTGATGAAGAACTCTGAATGGAATTGTTTTCTGCAACCATATGGAGATTAAATTAAGTTACGTTCCAACTTTTTTAAAGGCAAAATGTAATGTATATGTGTGCGTACCGTGAAAGTCGTTTGAAGCAAGAGTGAACGGCTGGTTATCGGTTTTCTCAATATCCATGGATGATGACCTCTTTGATTTTTTTCTTTTGAACAAGAAGAAAGCCACAAGAAGAGCTGTAACTACTAACAATGAAATGATTATGCCTGCAATTGCACCAGCTCCGATTCCTGATTTCTTGGAATCTCCATTTCTGGTGGAATCATCACTAGACCGGCTTTCACGTCCTCCGGGTTTACGGTTCGGGGAGCCACGGATTGGAGGTGTTCCAGGTGGTGGTGGAGGCGCAGGTCCAGTATTGAATGAGTTGCCGTCTTTTCTGTTTGCAAGAAACAAGAAAAGTGAGATTAAAATTTAAAGAAACAAGCAAATATGTGTGAAATGATAACTTACATTAATGTGATGCCCTTTAAAGAACTGGGGATCCACCCAGTGAAGTCGTTGTTTGCAATGTTTCTGAGGAACATTCAAGAAGAACCAAACGTTCATGAATGTTTAAGAAAATCCAGCTGCACGTGTAATAAGGTTTGGTTACTCACAGAGTCTCAAGAGGAAGACCGGCTAAGACATCGACTGTGCCTGAGAACTGATTGTTCTGAAGGTATCTGTGAAGTTAAAAGCCACATGTTTAGTAACTGGTAAACTTTCAGTTTAATCAGAGGTTCCTGAAAACTTACAGTGATTTTAAACTTGTTAGAGAGGAAAAAGTTCCCGGTAAAGAGTTTGTGAAAGAATTGAAAGAGAAGTCCCTGAAACACATGTAATTTTGTCAAATATCTTACTGCGATCAAAATTTGAGTACAATACACATCTTTACTAAGATCTTACAAGGTTGTGAGAGAGTCGAGCTTGGTGAAGTCGATAGCTATCTGCCCCTTAAACTGATTGTGACCAAGATTTCTGATTTTTGCACAAGAGGAAACACTAATATTCACATCTTTATGGGAGATGACTAGAGAAATGTGAAGTGAAGAAATTACTTACAGATACTTAAGTGTTGTTATCTGAGAAATTGAGTACGCAGCAGCTCCAGTGAATTGATTATTCGCAAGATTCCTGAAACACCGACGATTATAAACTCGTGAGCACGGATATTACATTAGAAACCAGGAAAAAGGAGAATTGATGGACCGTACAATCGTTGCAGATTTGGAGGAAACTGATATGGTAAATCACCTCCAAGATTATTACTGCTTAGATCACTGCAAGTTCCATCAAAGATTACAAATTAGAAAACTCATTATCTCTAAAGACAACGACTACAATTAACAGTTTGAAGCATTTTGAGAGATTGATCTTACAGCTCGGTAAGAGAAGTCAATTTATCAAGCATGTATCCTCCAAGTGTTCCAGAGAGCTCAAGACCTGACAACTTTCTGCCAAGTAAATATAACACAACTTATGTTAGACGTAAATCAAAGTAGGAAACAAGAATTTAGATACAAAAATCACTAACATTTGAGTAACTCGAGAGCCAGAACAAGTTACGCCTCTCCAATTCTGGCCACAAGGATCACCAGCTGCTGCAGTCCACTGTGTTAGCTGAGCTGGAGAATGCATACCACTGAACAATGTGTTCAATGCTGAAGCTGCACAAATTTGAAAACAGAGACCATTAAAACACAATCCAATCAACACAAACTTAACCATAAATCACTTTCTGCTTTAAAGTCCACTTGAGATCATTAAGATTCTATATAAACAATATAATGCTTTATTCTCAAGATTAGAGACACACAGAGAAGGGAAAGGTTCAAGATTTAGCCCAAAAAACTAAAAAGATTTGAGATTTGGGGAAGAACCAGAACCTAAAGTAACATATTTTAAAGACTGAAACTTTGGGAAAATGGGTGAAGAATGGAAACAGAATAAAATTGAAGGATATACGAAAAAGATTGAGACTTTAAACAACCCAATAAGCTTAATATCAATCAAAAGCGAAAAAAGTGAAGAAGATTCTCAGAAGAAGAAGAAACTCACTGTCTGATGCATCTGTGGCTCCATGGATGAATCTAAGCTCAAATCCTACAATGCATAGTGTAAACAGAGCCACCACCGCCCAATTCTCCTTCATCTTCTTCCTCTTTCTCTCTCTCTATCTCTAGAACGATAAGCCAAAATCTAGTCTTGTGAAAAGAAAGAAAGAAATTTAGAAACTTTTTTGTGTTTGTTTTTTGAAATCTAATTATTTTTGTAAAGTGAAATTTTCTTGACTTAGTGAGAGATTATATACTGTTATATTTAGCTCGTAAGAAAAAAAAAAAGAATTTTTACAGAGTAAAGCTGTCAAGCACGATTTTAGCAATAAGAATACAAAAGCCAAAATTAAATAAATAAAGATTAGGCTCATTTGTTTCTTTCTGTTCAATTTTTTCTTCTCAATAATATGAACATTAATTACAGTATTATTTTGTTCCTTCCAAATTTATCCACAATAATTTGTTCATTTGTTGGTGTATCATGATTATGGTTTGAGTTTGACCCATGATTTATTCATAATAATTTGTTCGTTGGAGGTTGTATCATTGATTTCTTTCGTATTTTTTGAATTTCATTTCTTTAATGATATATTATGTTTAAAGGTTGCTTTCAATTTTATACAATGGATATCACTATGAAGGTTGGCTAATGGCTATGATTGGCTCTTTACTCTTTAAAATTGTCCCATCATCGCTTTTGCTGAATTTGATCGTTTTCTTACTTTTACGTTTTTTTCTCCGGCTTTTTTTCCAAGTGTATATATTAAAGAAATTAAAAGAGGACGACGTAATTGTGTGTTTCCTTTACTAAAACAAAGTCAATATGAATACGAAAAGAAAGCAAATTTGTTTACAAAAAATCGGTGTGTTTTTGTTTTTGTATAAGAAGAATAGGTGTTTTCTACGTAAATTAATTTAAAGAACGTTTTCGGTGTAATATTATTGAGGGAAAAATGTTTATTATCCCCCATGTAATCAAATTGTACCACAAATAAAGTACTCAAAAGAAAACAGTTGTACCACCTAAAAATACCAAACTGCCGAGGAGCTCGTGAATCCAATAGTTGTTCTATTTGTTTAAGCGTATATTATATGTATACTGCATGGGGAAAAAAAATCACTTGGAATTACTATGCAGTATATGTATGAACGAGTACTTTGCTCCAAAAAAAAAAATGTATATATGAACGAGTACTTAAAAGTTTGTGATATTTTATTTAATAATATAAATCATTGTTATCAATTATTGTACGTGGTTTGCAAGTTGCAACTAGTATATGAGATAACTTATACGTTGAACATCTCATGATCATGTGTGTTTCGCTGTCTTTGATTTCTCTTAACTATTAACTTGATTTTTCTCATGATCGACGAAACACACAAATTTTGTGCTAATTTATATATATTTTATCATCGTATAGTGAAAAAAAAAATTACATTCGAGATTTCAGCTCGTATAGTCTTTTTTTTTTGTGTCTCTGTTTCGTGTAAGTATGTGCTATTGTATATTTTTATGCAGTTGATTGTGTGAGAAACTTCTATTCTATCTTTGGCAGCTGAATCTTAAACTTGAACTGTCAAGCAAGTGCCAGCAAGAACCGAGTATGGGTGACAAAGACACTTAATGTCATTTATAAAGAAAAAAAGACATTTAATTTCTTTGGTATGAATATTCATATATAATTATTCATAATTCGTATTTTTTTTTCTTGTATAAATGATACAGAGAATCTTAAGTCATGGTCATGTTTCATGTTCAGCTAATCAGCCATATGCAGGGCCGTGCCTATGAGGAGAAAAAAAGGCAAATGTTTTAGGCCCCTCAATATTAAGTAAATTTTGGGGCCCCCAAATTTTAAATAATAATTGATATGTTAATAAAATATATATTTTAAATGCTATTTTTCTTAAAAATTTTGAATTTTTGTTTAATATATTAAAAACATTGATATTCCTCATTATTAATTAAGAATATAATATTTTGAATTTTAGTATTTTTATAGATAAAAATAATATTAATTAAAAAATAGATTATGAAAATAGTGTAAAATTATACACTCATAGTAAATAGTACAAAATGTTATATTCATAGATTGAAAAATATTTTTAATTATATCTATTTTATTAAAAAATAAAATGTTTAAATTTACTTATAAATTATAACACATTTTAATACAAAAATGTATTAGACGTTTTCTTTTGCCTTAGGCCACCAAAACTCTTGACACGGCCCTGGCCATATGTATTGGTTTCAATATTATTCTGTATAAATAATACAGTAAATATTATTCTGTATATTCACAGTTCAACTAGTTCTGTATCACTCAACAAATACAACCATTCTATTGTGCAATTACGAATTTATGATCTAATGGTAAATAAGCCAAAAAAAAAAGGAATGTAACAATGTAAAAAATAATATACGAAGTTGTTATGTCTAACATTAATTAACCAGGTTGCTTCCTAATTCCCACGAGCCACGACAACTTCTCCAGTTTTGTCGGTGGGAAACCTTTTTAATTCTCTTTGTATATTATTCATTTTTTTCTTCTGTTAATGATTATACTAATTACGACAGATGTGCTGTCGTTTTCCTCCAGCCAAGACATACGGCGTGCCGTTTTGATTCCCTTTCAATAATTATCGTCCTTATCCAAAAAGAATTGGTGACCTAACCTTGCGTTAATTGGTAGGTCCGATTTGGAAGAATGATCATTATAAAACGGTCCGATTTGTGTGTATTTTTTTTTTTTGCTTCTTAAGTCGTAACTTTAAGTTAACGTTATTCAAGTAAATATGAAGTTTATTAAATCTTATTTTTTCTCATAAATATATCCTTTTATATATAACAATTGTTGTAAGGAGTTTACAACAGTGGAAGCTTCCACTTACATAACTTAGAGACTATTGAGCTTACAACATTGGATTATCAAAAGGATTATAATAACCCCATTATTCAGAACACAAAAGAAAACATCTTCTAAACTGTAAATACGGTTATACAAGTTAAAGTTAACAAACCACACCATAGTGAAAATCGAAAGATCTGATCTTCCAAAAAATTCACCAAGATCATCTTAGATTATTCTTCTACGTTGGCTGCATTCACTGGATTAGTAACCAAGCAGCATATGATCCAAAACATTGTTGACAGTATTACTAGAGTGGTGATGACTTAACGTGTACCCAGTCCTGGTAATGATTTCCCACTTTAGTCCTTTCCCCAACCTCAAAAATGTCTTGACACTCGTGAATTAATTTCATATCAGTTGCTGGGGTTATATTAGAACCTGATGATACCTGATGTATCCTTGAAGTTTATTAAATCTAATAACGTGAATTTCATAACATACGGTAGAAAAAAAAAAAAAAAACCATAGAAATCAATTAAAATGATAGGAATATTTGTGAAAAAGCATTAGATAAAGCAGAGACCAAAGCAAATTTAGTACTAGTAGTCATGTTTAAAACCGCCTCATCTCCAATGGATCAGAACTTAATAGAGAAAAGAACTAAGAAGTTCACTAGTCAAAAAACTCAACAAGATACATCTCTCCAGAGTTGAAAAATTCACTAATACAAAGTCACCTAAACACTAAACGCATAGAGCACAAACAAGACATGCCCATGCTTTCTTCACCTATCCCTTCTCTCATGTCTCGCGTCTCTTCCATGTCTATCGTCTCTCTCTCTTCTCCTCTCTTTATAATCTCTATGACTCCGATGATCATCATCGTCTCTCTCTCTTCGACTCTCTTTATAATCTCTATGACTCCGATGATCATCATCGTCTCTCTCTCTTCGACTCTCTTTATCTCGAATCTCTTCTCGGCGTTTTCTTCTTCTTCTGTCTTCATCTTCCCTACTCTCTCTTTCTTTCCTCTCTCTGTGTTTCCTCTCCATTTCTCGTGCGTCTTCCCGATCATGCTGTCTTCTACCATCGCCAACTTCATCTCTGTGACTTCTCCTCTGAATCTTCTCACTCCTCTCCCTCTCATGACTATGCTCTCTCTTGGGGATTTCAGGCATATCACCCTCAAACACCATATCATAGCCTTCACCTCCTCCGTGCTGTCTGTTTTGATCTTTTACAATGAACTTTGAAGACTGATTACCACCCACACAGTCCTTGGCAATATGATCCGTCGAGCCACATTTGAAACACCCATTCCCTGTTTCATGTTTGCCAAGGATTAATTCGTTACTTGTTTCGTCTATGGCAAGTCAATACTCTACAGGTAATGAAGAAAGGATTTACCTTTACCCTTTTGGGAGTCTTTCTGCCGGAACTGTGACCAAAGCTTGGACACACTCTGACTGAAATCCACATGTATTCGTCTATCATCGATCAGAGCATTGTCCATCTGCAAATCAACAAGTTGGTTAACCCCCAAATAATTGATTTCACATCTTCTCTATGGTAAAATATCTACCAATTGACGTTTACCTTAAAATACGCTTGTTCGCATGCCTCCTTGTTCTCAAACTCTAAAACAAAGACAAAACTCTCAGTTAACACAAATTCATATAGAAAAATCTAGATTCTTCAACAGTAACTATACAGCAGACCAGAGATTCTACTCACCTATAAAAGCATAGCACAAACTGTCACCTGTCTTGAAATCCCGGATTACATCAGCCCTGCCATATTCAGACATGAAGATCAATACAACTGCAGCAATTAAGTTTCTCAAGCGAATAAAGAATCAAGGAACTATCACTCACGATACAACAGTTCCAAAGCGTGAAAAAATGGTATGGAGGTCCTCATCCTGCATGAGAAAAGAAAATAAGAACAAAAATGTCACAACAGAGGAAGGCTTTGCTTCTAATTTCAAATATCAAACACCTACCTCAGTCACAGGATTCAGTTTGCAGACGAACAGCACATTGTCAGGAGGTTTTACCTCAGCCTCAGGGATATCTCCTATCTGCAACAGCAATACAAGGTCAACAATTAAAAATGACTTGATGTGACATCAAAAGAGCTACAGGCCAATTGAAACGGTGATACTTACACTTTCAAGTACAACAGCACTAGAATGGGCAGCCTTTTCGCGGATAACCTCCTCCAGTTCCTGAACACCAAGTTCTTCATCCATTGGAACCCAATCATCTTCAAGTCGCACATCATCTTCGACCTCTTCCTTCGGTTTTCCTTCGGGGGAAGCATCTGGTATCATCTCAGCCAGCTGTGGAGGATCATCAAATGGATCATCAATTATATGTGTGTGCTTGATTCTAATGTTTTTATAGGGTCTGTTCTTTCCATCAACATAAGCTTCGTTTATCCTAGTCAAAGTGTCAAACCCCTCGGCAATCTCCCCAAACACCTGAAAAATGGCATAAAATGGTATATCAAAGGTGACCGATATATACCGAAGAAAGAATAGGCAGATCATTAATAATTTTGCACTTACAGTGTGTTTCCCGTCAAGATAGTCCAAATCATCACGAAGTGTGAAATAGAACTGAAAAGAGAGTATAAAAGTTCACATGAGGACATATTGATCAATAGCACATTGCTAATTATACTGAACCCAGGGGAAATCAAATACCATTTCCCAAGAGATTTCATAATGAAATTATAGCATCATAAACTTAGTAATTCAAACAAAATGATTTTAGCATACCTGGGAAGCATTGAGATTTTCTCCCCCACTGGCCATTGCAACAGTGCCGGTCTTTGAATGTTTTAAATCAAGATGAATCTCATCGCGGAAAAAACGAGCCTGCTCACCGTACAGAAATCTAAAAATCCAACAAAAAAAAGCACAAGATGGTTAAGGAAAGTTCAAACATTGACCAGAGAAAACACAAACAAGGAGGTGGGAAAGCATGATTAAATGATTCAAAAGGTAAAGAATGATCAAAATATACAAAGTCCACAAATCAAAATGTAAAATAAGAGCATCTTACTTGTAGATTGAATCTCCACCAGCTCCCGTACCAGTTGGGTCACCCGTCTGTGCAGTGAAATCTTTTTGCACAGTGTGAAAAAGGCACCCATGGTAGTACTTGATCCTAAACGAAATAAGAAAGTTAAAAACCCGTAAAGACATAGTGAGTCCCATAGAAATGTTTCTTAGATAGATAGGCAAAGAGACACTTACTTGCAAAGCTTGAGGAAGTTCTTGCAGGTCAAAGGGCATTTATTCGGGTAAAGATCAATTACTATATCTCCAAGGCTCGTCTCAATAAGAACTGACATGTTTACTTCTTGCAGAACCTAAATTGAGAAAATGAATGCAATTTAAAAGTTAGGCTACTGAATAAACAGACTGAAGGCAAATAGACTCTAAACCTAACACAACATGAAATCCCTAAATTATCTCAAACAATCAATCACTCACTAGTCACTACTAAATCTAAATCACTAAATCATCTCCTTAAATGTGATTACCACTGATTTCCTTTGCAAAATATTCGTTAATCGCTATCATCTTGCTCATCTAAACATCAAAACGAACAAAAAAAACCTAAACCTATGCAAAGAGAATCAACAAACCTATGCAAAGAGAATCAACAATCGCGATTCACGAGCAATGTCTTCGAAAATCGTCATTGAATAGAGGAAAATATGAAGCGACGATCGATGAGAAAGACGAACTAACCTCAGAAACAGTGCGAGAGAAGAAGAAGGGAGGTGCAAAGGAAGAGGAGCTCTTGGAGTCGCCAGTCGCCGGCGATGCTTGAGCGTGTCGGCTTTTTCTCTGATTTTGAGTTTTTTTGCGTTTCGCTATTCTTTATTTCTTTTTGCGTCATTGTTTTAATATAAGCCTAGGCCCAATATAAAACTCGGCCCATTTCATTTTTGGATTCTCACATTCCCAAGTTTCGGCGTTTTTCAGTACTAGATTTTGTACCCGTGCGTTGCGCGGGATTTTAATTTTAATTTTTTTTATTAACAAATAATTTGAGCACAAAAGATAATCATTTAAATTTAAAAAATAAATATTTGAGCATAAATATAATAATTCAAAGTTTAGCAAAGCTTTTTTTAGCCATTGAAGCAAGTGCATGGTGCCATAAAAAAATTCTCGACTAAGTTATCAATGTGCCTATTTTACCTAACTTTTCATGATTACACGACCAAACAGTTAAGCCCAACTTTGAATCTAATAATCTGTTTAATAATGTGTGTCATATATTTTTTAAAAACAACTCATTCGTTTACACAATGCATGCGATCTCAAAGAATTTGAACTTTTCATGTGCATTATATTTCTAAGTTTTAGAAATTTATTTTTAAACACATTTAATTACCAATTCTTTCATCATCGTCTATGATGCACTCGTTGACACGGTCGACATCTACTTTCTTTTCACCTTTTATTGACTCACATATTATATATATTGGACTATGAATTGATTTTCAAGACATATCATTAACTATTTTCTCCTTAATTACTATCTTTCAATACTCAAATTTTTGGGTTAAAAGTATTTGATTCAATTGATGATATATCAATCTTGTTTTTCTTTTTGATCATGTTATAAAGTTGTAGTTGCACTTGAGAATATGATATACAAATTACATATCACTTTTCTTTAATGGCTTATATTTCATTTTTTGTATATTTTGTGTAGAACTTGTGATCATTGATTTTTTTTTTTTTTTAAAATGGATCATAATGTTTCAAAATTTTCAAGATTTTTTTTTATAGTTTCACAAGATAAATTGTGACTCTTACACTACCTTCGTCTTAAATTATAAATTTAAGTTGAGTTTAGTTAACTTTTATTGTTCTTTAAGTAAAAATTTAATACTAAATTAAACTATGTAGTATATTGTTCTTAGAAGTTAATGTTTCACTTTAAATTTTATTTTCTTGTTTAAAATTTTACATATAGAATTACATAAATTTATTTTTATTATACCATGTATTTAAAAGTTACTTCCATTCTAAAACTCATTAACACATTTAAAGATGTGAAGTATGATCATTTGTAATTTTTATCTATTAAAAGTGGAAGTATTTTATTACTACTAATAATATTTTTATAGTTTTTTCTTACTTTAACATATCATTTATGTTACATAATTCGTTTTTTATTTATTTAATTTTTTTATTAATTATAAGTAACATAAATATGTACTAAATGAATGTTTAAAGTATATTTTAATATAAAATAAATAATGTTGCTTAAGTGGATGCTTAGGTGGATAGGCTAGATGGAGAGAAGACTCTCCCATTATATATATAGATTACTCAAACGCAGCTCGGCGTTCTTGACCGCTATTTTGGTCAACAACAACGATCACCAGATATCTCGGTGAAGCAAGCAAAGCCGAGAAGGGAGGAGATTCAGATTCTCGGAAAAATGAAACACCACCATAAGCTCACGGTGGCGTTATGTCTCATTTGGGCTGCCACGATCCTCTACGGCGAAATGTTCGCCTTCTGGGTTCCTTCTCTCTTCACTTGTTCTTGGCCTCACCATAAGGTCTCTCTATCTAATAAAGTTTCCATCTTTTTCAATAACTGATGCTCAATTTTGGAGATTCATTGACTTTGATTCGACTTCGATTGTGTTTTGCTTATTTCTCTCTGTAATCGTCCATGTGTTGCTGGAAATTGTATAAAGCAAAGTTTTTTACTATTGAATTTTCTCGACATTTCTATTTTTGGGAATGTAATCGTTCTCTGATCTAAAAATAGCTCTGATGCCACATTATTACAAGGCCGATGTGTGAGAAATCTCAATAAATCTGGAGAAGCTTGATTCATCATTTATTCTAGTCACTGTTGAGATGTGATTGCTAAGAAAGGATTCTTTTTTTTTTCAACAGAGTTATGGAGTGGAGAGTGATGGGAATTTTACTAAAGTAGCCATTGTTACTGATCCACAGGTGACGAGCTTTTCGAATGGTTTTCGGTTTTGTTGTGTGTTAATGGAGTTTGATCATCTGATTATGTGTTGTTGTTGTTGTGTTTATGCAGCTCATGGATAAGACATCGTTTCGTTTGTCGTCGAAGACGCTTGCTTTGGAGCTTGCTCAGCTTTATACTGATATAAACATGCGGAGATCATTCTTTCGGTCTGTGTTGCCTTTCAAACCAGATGTTGTTTTGTTTTTAGGTGATTATTTCGATGGCGGGCCATTTCTTCCCGAGGAAGAGTAAGCTCTCCTTGTTCTTGTCTTTTCACTTGTTCTTCTTTCTGCTCAAATGGTTTGCGGAAATGCTTAGCTTCTTATTTTATCAGATGGCAGGAATCTTTAAGCCGATTTAAACATGTGTTTGGTTTGAATTCACAAGGCAAAGTTGGGGACATCCCTACATTTTACATCCCTGGGAACCATGATCTTGGCTATTCTCGGATTGCTTCCCATAAGCAAGACGTACTACATATATCACCTTTTTTCCTCAAATATATCACATGACAGCGACCTATATATTGATATCACTTCACAATTCAACAGGTGATTGATAGATACGAAAAAGTATTTGGGTTCAGAAACCGCAGATTTATGATTGGAAGTGTTGAGTTCATCAGTATTGATGCACAAGCTATCGATGGTTGTTACAAAACTTTGCTCTGGTTGATCATTAAGATATTGTTTTACATGCTTAGAATTTCTCCTCAAAGAGAAACCAAGGATCTGTAACTGAAAAGTGATGTATATGTTGCAGGGAATCCTCAAAAGGATCTGGCATCAGAAGTTTGGAAGTTTGTACAAAATGTCTCCACCGGTGTGTTATTCAGCTGCATCCTCTTCTGCATTTACTATCTTTGTGAAGCTTACACATAAACTTTTCTGATCTTTTTTAGATGCACAGTCGCATCCTAGAGTGTTATTGACCCACATCCCATTATATCGGCCCGATCAAACCCCATGCGGCCCTCACCGTGGTGGTTCTGTCATTGATCAGGTGATGCTCGAATTGTAGTGTAATTCAAAGAAGTAACACTTTGTTTGTGGTCTAATGTATACTATTTCATGTACAGCGGTTTTGGCGCCATTTTCAAGATCAAGAAGTAATGTAAACTTCTTCCTTTCCATTTCATTATACAGAACTTGAGTTATCTTTTAATATAGCCATTTTAACAGGGCTCAACTAATTCAATGTTGTCCTTTTTATATATTATCTTCCTATGCAGATACCAGAATTATATCACTCCAGAATCATCTACGAAGTTACTGGAGTTGATCAAACCCGTAAGATAAAGTTTTCTGTTTTCTGTTCGTGTGAAAGTTCCATCTGTGCTTCTATCTCTATTACTTCAAACACAACTCTCACTTCTAATGCCAAACCAATCATTACAACAACAATTTTGTGTTTTTTGATCCAGATACTCGTTCTGTCTGGCCATGATCATGACCAGTGTACTGTAACCCACAAATCGAAAGCAGGATCTGTAAAAGAGGTAATAGAACTTTGTAATGGCTACAAAATATTTGTATTTTCACTATGGACAATGTTTGATGGTGAATATCATATCACAGCATACTTTAGGTACTATAAGCTGGCAACAAGGAAATATATATCCGTCATTCATGCTATTATCTGTTCCCAATGCCGTCCATCAAAACTCATCTGATCCAGATAAAATGTTACACACCCAATTATGCTTCCTTCCGTGCCAATTATTCATTTACATGTGGTATGTTCCTGATCAGAGAGTTCTTGGCTTTATGATTATTGTCGTCATGCATCTTTATGAATATTTGAGTCTATTTTTGACTACCAGGTACCTTTCTCTATTCGCTATGTCCCTTCTTTCTCTCCTTCTCTGGCCAAATCATGGAATAAGCTTCTTAAACAACACTGTAGACTGTATCTCAAATGTAATGAAGTCAAGCTTTTTAAGCAGCGTCACTAAGGAGAAGAATGAAGATGAGAACTGTGAGTATGAAATGGTATGGGACGCAGAAGGATCCATGCATCTTGTGAAGAAAGCTCTTCAAACTCCTGTGAAACGTCAAAGCGATAAACCTCATGTAGAAAAGTAAGACTTCAACCATCCTTTGGATTCTCACTACAGACACAAGTTTTGATTTTTTCTGTCTTCTTATTTTCTCTGTAGGGGTAACGCGGTGATGAGATCAGCGGCTAGAAAGAATGCTAGCGAACAGATTGAGCTTGTGATGGACTCAGATGTAAATGCAGGTGCTGGTGGGTCTGATCCTCTGATGAGATCAGCATCAAAATCAAGAACAAAACTTGTGATCCAGAGAGTGATACGTACAATCATGATGACCATCGTCATTGCGGCGTTAAACGTTCCCATTTACATCTGGTTGCTGTTCAAGGATTGGATTGAGCAGGAGTGATAAACTAGAGATAAATCTCATTGACATGAAATTTTGGACTAAGGAAACTATCATCTGTAGGATTTGTGGTGAAAAGTGAAAACTGTTGTTGTATTATTAGAATACGAGAATCAAAAGAGACATGTTTTAGTCTATATGGTTCAACATAACCATAGACTTATTTATTTGGTCTTATTAAAAGTATAATGCAATAAAAGGAAGATACAAAACTGAAATTTTACAGAGGAAATGTCACTGATGAAACCAAAATAGTCTTCTCCGGTCCAAAGTGAAACCGATCAAAGGAACCCTTCAAAGATCTTCACTTTCTTAAAGAATTAGCATCTCCAGTGTCTCTGTCTCAGACACAGTAAAAACTCCGGCTCGCTTGGCGGATAAATTTCTTGCTCTCTCTCTCTGTCTTGTCTGATGCAAATTAAGCCATGAAACAAGCCCAAAAAAAAACCTAAAAGAATGATCATTTAGGTTAAAAAACCGACAGGCTTGTAAAAGGGTTTTGCACCAGAATATATCAGAAGAGAGAGAGAATCAAGTTTCTTGTGAAAGGATATTGCCAAGCAGCCAAAGGAGAGAGCTTCAATGTCCATGGAGCTTCAAGAACTAGATATTAGGGACATAGTGATAATATATATTTTATATATAGATTTATATATAATTAAGGAGAAGAGTCATCTATTTATTCATCTCCTTGGATGTACCAGCAACAAAGCATGGTAGCGCAACGACGAAGAATGTAGAGACGAGCTCGTTGCTCCTTCACCAAGGAAGCACATTTGCTTGTAAAGGCGTGACCTTTGTTTAACTTACTCTTGAACTCAGCCATTACCACAATCAAGGTTTTTTTTGTTATATATTTATATTATTTAATGGAAAGGAAACAAATAAAAAGATTGAAACTTTTGGGTGTAGAATGTGATGAAGAAAAGAAAAAACCCTTTATGTGGGTGAAAGAAGTTGTTGAGAAGTAGAAAAAGGAATGAAGAGTATATATAGAGTGAAGAGGAAGAAGAGAAATCTTGAGAGAGAGAAGGTGACTTGGATATGAAGGAAAGGAGAAACAGATGAACATGGTCTGATTTTTGGTTCATTAATTGACATTGGGATTTGCATGAATCCCTTTTTTGATTCTCCAAGGAAGTATAGTTTCATGGAATCATCATAACATCAATAATTTATTATTTCTTATATTATAAACTTTTTGTAAATATAGTTCTCATTGATACAAGTTAGTAATTTTGCATATGTATTTTACCTTTCCCAACAACAAATATACAGCCGCCCAAATCTTTTTAAAAGATCCCTCACTTATACTGTATACCGTTTTGTATTACTCTAAATATAGAGAAGCAAATATACGACTTTATTATTTTATTTTACTATATACACGGAAATGATGAAAATTTTGGTAATTTTAACTCCAAAAAGAAAATCAAACGAACAACTTGCATATAAATCAAATAAATGAGAGTGAAATACAAGAAAGAGTAGAAAAGGAATAAAGTTAGAGCATGAAAAGGGGATATTTGTAGAAAATAAGACAAAGCATTGAATGTGTGTATTTGCTTTGCTTCTGATTTTGTGATTTTTCTTATTCTCAATTTCCTAGTACAGTAAAACCTCTATAAATTAATAATGTTGGGACCAAGAAATTTTATTAATTTAGAGAGGTATTAATTTATCGATAAATTAATAATTATTAATTTATAGAGAGATTTTCCTAATTTTGTAATTTCTTAAAAAAATTTCTATCTAAAAAAAATATTTCTTTATAAACAATATCTTTAAAAAACTAATTACAAGTAGAGAAACAACTATTAAGTTTAAAAAACAACACAAACCTTTTTCGAATAATAGAATCATATTTCATCAAATTTTTTACATATAATATTTAAAATATATATCATAGTAATTCATATATAACATATATAAATTTATATAATGTATATATATATATATTGATAAGTTAATACAATTATTAATTTATGATATAGATGGGACCATATGTTTACATGAGATTTTCAAAAAAATTATTATCTTATTAATTTATCGATTAATGTCATATTTTACACTGGTCCCAACTCGGGACCGGAAGAATTTATTAATTTAGAGAGGTTATTAATTTATAGAGTATTAATTTATGGAGGTTTTACTGTAAGTTGTAAACTTATAAGCTGTAAATTTAATTGAAAAACTAAATTCAAGATTGTTAATGTTTTGGTTGTCTTAATGTTTCCTAGTAACCTGTAAATAAAAGTAAAATTTTAGTAATTACACACAAAAGAAAATAAAAATTCAAGAGAAAAAAATAGGGCTATTCATAAAGCATCTTCTCAAATCTCAAACAAGTGTAGTGTTTACAAATGGACCCAATGATAAGGCCCATTACCCAAGAAGACTATATCATCTCTGTTCCTACTTTTTATGGGCTAGATAAATGTCAAAAGACCACTACAGGAAATGAGGGTATTAATAGCAGTCCAGTATAGCGTTTTTAATATTTTTGCTATAGTTGAGTTTTGAGAAAATTTACATAGCGTTTTCAAAAACGTAAACGCTATGATAAGATAAGCGCGAAAATATTTCGTAGTGGCGCTTAATTTTTAGAGCAGTGATAGCATATGTGACACTGAAAACGTTATTGTAAGATTAACCGGGAAACCAAAAAATTGATTACCTCCAAAATTTTACTTTTTATTTTTTGGATCAAAATACCTCCAAAATTTTATTAAGTAACAAAAGGAAAAAAAAAAAAAATTGAAGACGAGAAATAGATTCAAGATCTAAAACTTCTCTCTTTTCTCCTCTTTCTCTCTAAAACTAGATTGGGAACCATCACAACCAAAACCAATTTGTTTGTCTCTTCTTTCACTCTCGATCTCTCTCGATCCCTCTCAGTCTTAATTCCTCTCAGTCTCAACTCTGGATCTCGATCGTCAGTTTCATCGATCTACAAATCTCTCTTAATCGTTTTTACTTTCAATTTCAGTTAAGCTTCTCTACCTTGTTGTTTATTTGGTCTCGATTTTGGCTCGAATCTCAAATTAGGAGTTTGATTTTATTTGTTGCTCGCTTTCGTAGACTCGGATTCATGAATAGGTTGAGTTTCAGTAGCTATATATGGGTTCATAATTCAATCTTGGTTTACCTTCATTAGCCACCTTCCCAATATAGTATAGACATGTATAGTCCCCTCGGGTCGAATATCAGAACATGTTAATATTAGCCCCCTTCCCCTGTATCGAGACTAGATTCTGAGACCTTGAGACACAATTATTTTATTCTTTTCGAAGGTCTCCTAGTAAACTAGTAAAGCTACAAACGTTGGGTCTCTAATCAGATTTGCTTCCTTGATGTGTGTTTCTTACATAGCTTGTCAATGGATGGATGGTGGAGGAGGGTTTTGCAACAGTACAATGCCATTTCAATACAGCTGTAATTGCCGTGAAGGTTACAACAATATTATGAACATAACTACATTTCCTTGCTTGAAACAATGTAAGAATAACAATTTTTATTGATTGTCAATTGAAGCAAACCAAGGACTTTAAATTGTTTTTTTTTTTTTGTGTTTGGTAGGTGCATTTGGAATGGACTGTTTGAATCTTGGGATTCCTTAGTCAAACGCATCATCGTTTTGTCCACCTGCTCTACCTGATAGCAGCAAGAATCAAGGTTTGACTCCTTAAAATGTCTGCCTTAATCTTGTTTGGTTAATATCTAAAGTATTAAAGAAATTGAGTTTTAAAAAAAAACGATTTTGTGTTTGAAGTTCATATTTTTTAAACATATCCCATGAGAGAACCAGTACTTAGTGTTCTTAGCTTTATTGCTATCTTGGAGTAGCTTATGTGATTCTATGTATTGAGGATTGATGCTTGGTTTGATGGTAATGGAAGGTCCGAGGTTTTTTGCAATTGCTAGAACAAAATGGAACACAAGAAAACAATTTTATCCTTTCAAGACACCAAATAATGAAAACTAGGATCTGCCGAGATCACTGGAGAGCTTTATAGTAGTAGTATTGCAATTGGTTCTTTTGATTAATGAGTTAGATTCAAGATTTGCCTTGCTACCTTCGTTTAGATACAAAGCTAAGACGAGTTGTCTATCTTTAAGAACACCAAATATTCAAAATCACTGTAGTGACTCATACTTGACCACAAATGGATGCATGTTCGTTGATAGATACTTAACACTGTATATGTTTCTACCTTTTTCCACATGATTCTTGATTGTATTCAATTCTTTCCACAGAGAAATCATGGGGTTCTAGACTCTAATGGAAGGATGTGGAACTAAGCTTTACACTCAAAGATCATGCAGCAGTTCTCACATTGGTAAGTCTTCTCAATAATTTTATTATTATTTCCCCTTTTGTGACCATGATGATGTTGAGATTGTATATGGGGATCATGGTACATGTAATGTGATAAATGTAAAAAGGAGGTAGACCCATCTTGATATTGTTGCAGTATTTGATTTGGTACGGTTGTGAGATGGAACTGACGGCATAATCTTTGTGTGGACGAAGCTCAAAGGAACAATGCACTTGTTGGAGCTCACAAAGTCACATGGTTCAACAAATCAAGAAACCTTCAAGCTGTTAAAAGATTACAATTTGTTGTCTCCGTTAATTTAATTCTTTTGATATACCATTTATTGATTTTGATATATACGTAAAAATTTCTTTGTAAAAGTCAAGTTTAGTTATATATCAATAAAGAAAAAAATACAACAAATTTTTATTTCTTACAAAAAATACAATTTAACTAAATACGTAACTATAACTACAAATAAAACTTTTATTTTGTTCATAATTATTCTCATAGATTCATTTGTTAATTAGCTAATACATAATCAAATAATATTCTCAAAGGTTCAAACATTCATTTGTTAATTCTACTCATCAAATAATCAAATATGATAAAATTTAATAATTTTCTTGCATTTTATTTTGATAATTGATAAATAGTCAAAAATATGTTTCAAAAATTTAGGGTTTAGTGTATGAAATGTATGATTTAGGTTTTTCGATTATATTTGTTTCAAATAGTAATAATATTAATTATAACAAATAATAACATAAATAATATTCATTTTTAAAAATAGTTTAGGGTTTAGGGTTTAGGATTTAGGGTTTAGGGTTTAGGGTTTAGGGTTTAGGGTTTATAGCTAATATTAATGATATAAAGTATACTATTATAACATAAATGAATTCTATCATTTTGTTAATCATAACATCATTAATGTGTTTCAACAATATGATTTACAATATAAGAAGATTAGTGTACATGTATTATAAGGCAATCATATGTGTTACCTTCAAATTTTTAAAAACTTTGCAAAATTTTTTTTTTAAATTGCGAAAAAATTATCTAATCTTGTAAATAACTCATTAACATATTATTTCGTCAATATATAATTTTTTAAAAATTATATAAATAGTAAAAACACATTTTTAAGTCTATAAACAAAATAAGCCAATCATATTGTTTCACTCGGATTGCTGATGTGGCGAGATCTCAGCCATTCATCTGATCTAATACATGATCAATTTACTCAACCCAATCAATAAGCAATACTCGGATACATGACGTGGCGACATCTCCTCCTTTCAAAGGATTTGGCGAGTGAATGTTTAAGAAAATCTCAGCCGTTCATCGCCCAACAAAGGCTTTGGCGAGATTCTCTTCAACCTTTCATCCATTACCTCGAAATCGACTGAAAGAATATTGCTAATTCTGAATTGGCTCCAACGCATCCGATTCGTCTTGGTTTAGAGTTGAACTTCTCTGTGTTTTACTATGAGATTCTCAATTCTCCTGATCGTGCTTGTAATCTCGCTAAGCAGGTTTGGATCTAATCAGAGGGATGTTTTATATGTTTATGTATTTGATGGTTTTTGTGTGTGTTTGATGAGGTTTGTTTATGGATTTATTAGGCGTTTGATGAAGCTATTGCTGAATTGGATACTCTTGGTGAAGAGTCATACAAGGACAGTACTTTGATTATGCAGCTTCTTCGTGATAACCTCACTCTCTGGACCTCTGATATGCAGGTATTATACTTTGGCTGTATAAGTCATGTTTTGTTGCTTGATTACTGAAATGATGAGCTGACTAAGTTATTGTGAAAGACTAGATTTGGAAATGAAATGGTTTAGTTTACAATTTGATGCATTCTTCTGGTCTGATTCTGATTTTATTGTGATTGTCAAATGTTTAATCATGTTTTGTTGCTTGATTTGTGAAACCCTGAGCCTTTTTAAGCCATTGAGGAAGACTTCATTTGGAAATCAAACGGTTTAGTTTACATTTTGATGCATTCTTTTTGTCTGATTCAGAGGTTTGTGAATTGTGATTGTCAACTGTGTTAAATCCTGTTTTGTTGCTTGATCTCTGAAACATTTAACCTAATTAAGCCATTCAGAAAGACTAGATTTGGAAATCAAACGGTTAAGTTCACATTTTGATGCATTCTTTTGGTCTGATTTTGATATTAGTGATTGTCAAATGTGTTTAAACTTGCGCAAGCCTGTTTTGTTGCTTGATTTGTGAAACCATGAGCCTTTTTAAGCCATTGAGGAAGACTACTTTTTGAAATCTAACGGTTTAGTTATACATTTTGATCCATTATTCTGGTCTGATTTTAGTGATTGTCAAATGTATTTAATCCTGTTTTGTTACTTGATTTCTGAAGCCATGAGCAAGATAAACCATTGAGGAAGACAATATTTACAATTATTTAGTTTACATTTTGATGCGTTTCTCATTTCTTCTTTCTTCTGGTCTGATTATGATTCTGATGTTATTGTCAAATGTTTTTAATCAGGACGATCCTACTGATGACATCAAAGAAGCAGCACCAGCAGCACCAAAACCTGCTGACGAGCAACAATCCTAAGTCTTGCGGTGAATATGTTGTTTCAGTATCTAAAACCTCTCCATTAATATGTTTTTCTCTTGGAGGAGTTTCTGTGTTGGTTTCTGATTTCCTCTTATCCCGAAGCTCTCCGAGGCAGTCTAATTCTTGTCCTTGTTCGCTTTTCTTAATCGTGGATACAAAAATACGTATAAAAATACTCCTTTGTACAATACATCATTTGTATAACATGTATAATTTACCTAATAAATTATGATTGATATAATATAATAAAAATATGATATTTTTAATTTGTCGATATATCCAAAAAAACCTAATAAATAATAAATTAAATATAATAAAAAATTAATAAACTGAAAATGTATATAATTTGTACAAATACTTTATATATACAATCTTGTATAAATACACAAATACTGTATAAATACATTCATGTATAAAATACGTATTGTCTACGTATTACAAAATATATATATATATATAATAAATATTAACAGCAATTATTAATCGCTATTATCTATTTATATATTGCATACCAAAAAACGCTATGTTATCTAATATCTTAATAGCACTTACAAAAACCGCTACGTAAAGTGTCAGACCTACTATAACGGGCGCAGACATAGCGCTTTCTACGCCGCTATGGTATCTTTAGATAGCGGTTTTCAGATGCTACGAATACCCTCATTTCCTGTAGTGGACAAAAAGAAAAGTATGTCTGAATTCGTTTGATAGAATGATGATAATTATAATTTAGAAATCCTTTGGTAAGATGTGGTTAGGAAAGAAAAAAATTATCGAAAAAATGTAAATTTACTTATAGTTTCTTGTAATTTGTAAAAATTATGTCAAAATCAAAAATGATCAGACTGCTGCTAACATGCGCTATTCATTGTATACCACAAATCCCCTTTTTTCTACCTCTAGAATCGTATGAGACTATGAGATATTTTCAAGGTTAAAACGCCTTAAACGCGTTTGCCACTAGCGTTATAGCTTTTACCAACATAATGATAGTAATTATTGTTGCTCTGAATTTTACTGCTACTCCTGTTCAAGCTTTTACTAGGCAGTAAATGCGACAAAGCCCACCACAACCACTTCCTCCTCTGTGGTGGCGTAACGACAGCAGTCACGTGACCAGCATGTGCCTTCGTCTTCTTCACCAGCCCTCGAATCTCCGGCGGTTTATAGTTTCTGATCAACGGCCACTTGATTCCTTCGAAAAACTCATGCCTTTTGATATCTTGCGCACCCCTGGCGCATCCTAGCCTCTTCCTCGGATCTTTCACTAACAGCTTCTCTATCAAATCCTTCGCTTCTTCCATACCTTCCTCTTCTAACGTAAACGCCACGTCATCGTTTGATACTATATTGCGCAGTGTTTGTTCCTTGGTACCACCTTTAAACGGCGTCGTTCCGTGTAACATTTCGTATAGAAATATTCCAAACGCCCACCAATCTACACCGCTTCCGTGTCCGTTTCCGGCGACTAGCTCCGGCGCTAAATACTCGTGAGTTCCTACACATGATTTCGAAAACGCCGTCACTGGCTCCGCCGCGAATTCCGCTACTATCTCTTCTCTCTCGTACTCTACCTCCGTGGAGAAACAACCTCCACCACGACGAGTCCTCCTCGGAGAAGACGAAGTTCTCCGGATTCTTCTAGATCGGAAAGTTGGAACTACATCGGCTTTGAAACAGAGATCGAAATCTGAGAGCATAATGTGTCCATCTTCACGAATCAAGATATTCTCCGGTTTGAGATCTCGATAAACGATACCAAGAGCGTGGAGATACTCCAAGGCGACGAGTACTTCAGCGGCGAAGAATCTAACCGCAGAAATCGGTAACCGGTTATTAGGTTGCTTACGGAGCAAGGAATGTAAATCACCGTTAGGGCAATAATCAATGAGAAGACAAGTATAGTGAGAAGCATCGATACGTGCGTAGAGTGTAGGTAAGAACGGGTGGTCTAGCAAGGAGAGGATCTCAGCTTCTGTTTCCACGTGTGAAATCTTCTTCGCCGTGAGAACATCACGATCGATTACTTTAAGTGCGAATCCGGTGGGGTTAGGGCAATCACGGAGGTGACAGAGGAAAACACGGCCAAGATTTCCAGTTCCGAGGTGGCGGACGAGTTTAAAGTGGCGGAGATGAAGTCTTCCGTCGGAGGAGAGAGTTGTTGCGGCTCTTATTGATGTCCAGTGAGGATCGTAACGACGGTGGTGTAGTGTTGTTGCGGCGGAGGAAGTGGTGGTTGAAGGTGTTGTTGCGGTGGAGAGTCTGTCGTTGAAGCTTAATGTGAGGCTTGAGCGTGCGAGACTCGATCTAGCGCTTGATGAAGTGAATGTACGGTCTGTGGCTGTGGAGGTGAAGCTGATATCGAGATCGGTGTCGAGGTAATAACCGTCGTCTTCCATTTTTCCCGGTGAAGATTTTTGTTCGTTTTTGTTGGTTATAATGTTGATGAGGTGAGATGATGATGATATATAAAGGGAAGATGAACAACTAATTAATTGATTAGTGATTTTTTAAAATTTTGGTTTTGGAGTAAATTAGGGTTGACTTGTCTGAAAAGACAAAGATGAGATGGTGGTTTGACCTCCCAATGGGTCATTTCTTTCATTTAATTTAATGAGTCTGGAATTATCATTGTTTTTGGGTATGTGCACATGGGTTTTCCCTCTATAAATATGGAATATATATTCTTAAGATTTTATGAGAAATTCTTATAAAGGCATCTCCAATGATAAGAATATTTGAAGTATCTAAATTTTAAAACATTTTTTTTTATAATAGTCCCATATTTTTATGCAAAAAAAATTAATAAAAGATGAAATAAATCATTTTCCAATAGTACATCATTTTGAGAAAAAAAGTTTTATATATAGTGTTTTCTCAAATATGATGCAATACTATTCATAGTATCATTTTTTCATTCAAAATGATGTATCATTATAGAAAGATATTTCTTATTTTTTTACTTTTTCCTTCAAAATGATGGATTGTTAGAGATGGTAACAAAGATGTTGTACGTGTGTTTTATCCAATACAGTAAAACTTCTATAAATTTATAATATTGGGACCGTAAAATTTTATTAATTTATATAAGTATTATTTTATAGAGAGATTTTCCTAATTTTTTAGTTTTCTATTGAAAAATAAGATTTTTGTCGTTATAAAAAATATCTTTTTTCTAGAATCACTTATAAGTAAAAAAATCATGTATAGAAGATAGCACCAATTTTTTTTATGCAATAAAAATAGTAGAAAAGAATTCTAACAAGAACTAATGCGAATTTAAGAAGAAGAAAAAACTACTAGAGTCATTTATAGTATTGATGGAACCATATATTTACTTAGGGGTGTTATTAGTATGTGATTTGAATAGAGTTTTAGTGACTTTAAATGTTATATAGAATCTGTTGTTATTCAATCAAGATTTTTTAAAAGTTTGTTAAAGTTTAGTGTTACTATTAGTTTAAGATTTGTAAAAAGTAATCTAAAATCTTCATAAATCTGGAGTTATTGGATTCATACTTTTATAAAGTCATTAAAAGTTTTGTGTTATTCAATTAAAACAAAATAATCTATGATTGTTAATAAATTAGATTATTATGTTATTGGTTTATGACTTTATACATTTTTCTTCACAAAATAAAGTCATGAAAAGTATCATCAAATAGAGAGATTGTTTGAGAAACTTTACAAAATTATGAAAAAATTAATCAACAAGATTATAGAAAACTCTCTAGCAATAGTTTAGAATCTTTCATTTATTTACTTTCTATGATTTTGTTAAAGTCATCAAAATTCTTTGTAAATTAGAAACCAAAAACATCCCCTTAGAGGTTTCAAAAAATTATTATCTTATTATTTTATCGAATTATGTCAAATATTACACGGATCCAATTCGAGATCCAAAAAATTTATTACTTTATAAAAGTTTTACTATATATGATTCAATAGCTTTATATAATTTTTGATAATTATAATGTTTTGACTGGTAGGAATGAACGTTGGTTTGCAATATTGAGTTGAATAGGCGGTGATGAAAAGAGAACGTTGGCTTGCAAATAATTAACTGGAAAAAAAAAAAAGGACGTTGGTTTGCATTTTTTGCATTGGGATTCTATAGAGAAGTAACTATAAAGTCATTAAGCAGAATCCATTTTTTGTTAGTAAGACAGAGAAGAAAAAGTATTTTTTAAAAAACATTAATGAGGCAGTAACGGCTTGTCGGCTTTAACGTCCTGAAGACTTTAGTCTCTTCTTATCAAATAAGGAATCAAATTTTGTTGTTGACCCAAAAGAAAAATGAAAGGATTTGTGTAATTCCAAAACTAAATACGTACGATGTTGTTCTAATGTTCTGTGTGAAAGTGTTGGAACTTTAATTTGTCTAAAAACCCTTCTTTTCTGTAAAAAATACTAATGAAATTGATTTTTTTGAGTCATAAAATTGTGGAGCTAAGAAAAAAGGCGAATAGAAAATAACACGAACATTAAGGCTCGATAGTTACCTTACCTCAAATGCTACTCACTACTTTTCACACGAACATTAAGGCTCGATAGAAAATAACACGAACATTACACAGCTACTCACTACTTTTCTTAGATTATACACTTTTTATTTAAGGCTCGATAGTTACCTTACCTCAAATGCTACAAGAAAAATATTAAATAGCATATGAAACGTTTATGGATTATTTTATTTTTGTATCGTTGTCACGAACAACGTAATACCTTTTTCTTAGGTGCGTCACTACTCACTATACAACGTAAGCCGTTTAATGTTTTCAACGTCAAAATCGTCTTCAAATGCTATAACTTAATAGCCTATAGCATTTGATTGTATTTTCATTACACAGTCAATTTTTTACTGGGAGATATATATTGCTTGTTATCAAAAAACTTGTCATAAAAAAAAATTATATTTCAATATGTAAGATCCAGAATTCTCTATGTATTTCCGAATAAGTATTACAATGACGGCTCTACTCTATTTATACAAGAACTAATGTTCACCCTTATTCTAATAATATACATAAACTATACAGTCTATACTTAAACAAGTTCATTAAGCCCAATTCCTATATATCTCCCAATAATTTTCAATGATAAATTTAGAAAATTAGAGAATTTTTTTTGTTTGACATCAAATTAGAAAAATTAGATTAATTTAGTTAATAGTACTAGAGATGCTTGATATTAGAGGGATTGATTTAGAAAAGCTTTTTCACATGAAAAATAGTGTACTATATAGTTAAGCTACATCAAGATAAACTTCAATGTATATTCAGTTCATTCACCCAAATTATAATAAATGCATTCATTAGATACTTAAAAAAAAAATGGGTTTCTTTTAACCTTTTGGCAGTGTCAATAAATTCAACTACATTAATGCAGCTTCATAACTTTGTTTGACAGGATCCATATAAAAGTAAAATAAATTATAAAGTACTTACAACAACTATCAAATGGCATTTTCATTTTTTGATAATGAGCTTATCAATGGCAATTTTTTTTTTTTAATCAATGGCAATTATATATATATATATATATATATATATATATATATATATATATATATTTTGGGTTGCAATGGATGAAAAAAAATGAAAGAAGAATCAAGCGACCGGCCAAAACAAAAGTTTAGCCGACTATTTAATATACTTGGTCCCTACTAAAAATATAATTTATCAAGTCAAATAAGCATAATGGCTCCGAGCCTCCGACTACTTGAGTTATATAGTTAATGTTTTAATCTTATGTAATTTACTGTAAAAATTGTGGAGTGTAAATTAGTGAATTTCTTGTAAAAAAATGATTTTTTTATTAAATAACTTATTGGTAACGTTTTTGATGTTTTGCACTAAATATCTTTCTACCAAAAAAAAATCCTATACTAATATTTGGGAAGTACATCCTAAGGCTCATAACTTAGATTTTGTAAAAAATTACAATATATGCCATTAGAGATATCTAATTATAAACATTTTATTCCATTTCACTAATATATATTTAACGGGTCAACGGGTCAACGGGTTTAAAGATATCAAAAGATTTTGTTTATATAATTTCAATAATTAATATAGTTTAATCTAATTCAATATAATTCGAGAATGTCTTATTCTAATCAATTCGACAATTTAACACAATGATGTTCAATAATCAATTCGAGAGTCATAATTTAACACAATTCGACAATTTAAAAATTTAACACATTGAAAATGTTACTCAAAATGTTATATAGTAATCCATCATTCGAACATGTTATAAAGTGAATTATAAAAATGTTATTGAAATTGTAAACATAAAATGATATTGGGTCATCAGACGGGTTTAATTATACTACCTAAACAATATAATCACATAATTTTGTAATTAATTAATTAGGGAGATTTCGTAAATAATAAAATCAATTCAAACTAATAAGGCAAATTAGGAAATAATCGTTTAACAACTTATTTACTTTCTTAAATATTCTCTAAACTTATTAGTCGGCAATCATATCTTCGATATATGATTGCAATTCCGAATAATATGGTAACTTCTTAATTAGAATTATTCGATTAGCAATTATTATCATTATTAAAGACGAATGTATTGAGATGATTTCTGTTATTTCCCTAATCGTAGCTATCATATAATCCATATATTCCTCTTTTGCTATATTTTACTGTTAGAATTTAATACTATCCAATTAGTATGGGATAATATTTCCGTTATTGCCATCGTAATATTGATATTGTCTAGATTTTTTTCTAGAATATTTTACCGAATATACTTTGCGGCAACCCTACACATGTGAATATATAACATACCAGTATAAATATAGGTCGTTCATTGTTGGACACAGTATACAAGTTACACAGGCTGAGACTGTTGAGATGATTTTAGCAGAACCATCTGTAAGTAAAACATTCATCTTTTATTGCTCCGTATTGATCTGTATAATACGTTTTCAACTATGTTATCATCCTTATAATATTATTTAATATTTAAAAATTTATAGGGTGAACCTGCTTCTTCTTATATATCATCGTTGAGACATGTGAGTTTTTGCAATGATTCGTATAATACATTTTCACATATGATTCATATAACTTTGCATTTTTTTTTTGCAGAGTCATACATGTCGCTGCTAACATGGAATCGAAAGAAAGTGGAGATCCTATGTTGTTAGTGGAGATCCTACGTTGTTAGCTTGGTTTAATCAGAATCTTTTCAATTCTAATGTAAGATGCTTAACATTTTCTGATTTTTCAATTGTTTTCACTTGGAATAATAATAAAAAAAAGTCTCAATTCATGAAAAGATCATTCCAAGATGGACGTACCAATTTTCTTTCCCGGAAGATGGATGCAAATGCAGACTCGAAACTACTTTTTCGTTTTATAACAGGTCTCAAATGTGATAAAAATCTTCGGACGTTCATTGGTGTCCTCTATGC